TATCCCATGTTTTAGCCTCTATTGCTGGTTGTTAGTTCTTTCCACATCTTCAAAAAACTTCATTACAATGTATAACACTTTTTAAAGATAAAATAACCAACAGCAAATAAATAACATTCAAAACCAGGCCTCGAGCGTCCGCCGTAGCTGAGAGATTGTGGAGTCCTGAACACATGAAGAACCCGGATGATGCTTCTTTCAGGCTAGACCAGCACAGGTGCAGGATGCTCAGGTTAGTTTGACATACTTCTAGTCAGATATGCCACTTGTGCACTATTTTCTTGTAAAATCCGCGTAGAGAATGATTTTGCATGAAGAAAATATACATAACAGAATTAGTAAAGAGAACCATCGTCTCCCTCCTTGTTCGAAACGTTTGGTTAAACTGCAAAATTTCAACTATCTAAGGAATTAATTTACGGAAATCGAATGAGATATGTTGACACGGTGGTGGGTAAGGCGTGTGAAGCTTTTTCTCCACAGCTAGACAAGTGTGTTTGCTGTATTTGCCATCATAATAATCTTCCCATCCTGTTGTTATCTCCAAATATCAGAATGGGCAGAGAGAGAGATCAATATCATACTATTACTATTACATGATGTAATATGAACAATTAAAATATATCAGATATCACAACATTGTGATAACAGCATATTGCATATCATGTCCAAAATGGTAAAACAAATGGTCGGGATAAGATCAATGATGGCCAATAAAATTCCACGCTTTCGGCCAATTAGAATATTGTCATATTCCTTTTTTTAATTATGACAACTTTTTTCCTACATCGAAACCAACATGAACAGCTTTCCATTACGTTGTATGACAAATTTGATGATTTCAATTTCTCGATTGTGAATTTTCTATTTCTGGATAGCACTTTCTCTGCATCTCTAACGTATGATATTTACATGTCACAGTTGATTCGATATTCAAATGCCTGTTTCCATTATCGCGCAAGAAGTCGTCAACTGACTGACAAACTCGTAACACAAGTGTACAAAAGATGCAAGTTGCCGAAAATTATTGGGAAGTTTTAGGGTCACCATCTTGTGATTTCATTGAGAAATATTCTATTTCTTTGTTTGACATGAAGATGGACGCATTTGATGCCCGTTAGTTTGCCTGTTGGTTCTGCGTTTTTGACACTCGTTGGAATGCCTTTTTGGTTTCGTTGCTGTTTACCTTGTTTTCATTTGAGAATGTGACATTTCTTACTTGGCTGGTATCGTCGATGGAGCACAAGACGCTTACCTTTCCTTAACACCTTGTCTTATCCTTCATCTACTTTTTCGGGAGTCTCCGTGTAAATCCTTTTTTTTTTTGTTAATATTTTGCTTTAGTTTTCTGGAACTTGAGTTTGAACTGTTATTATATTGCCATGTTGGTATTTTCGTGGATGTGGGGGAATCCAACGTTAAGAAATAAGGTGGTTACATTGCTAATTTTAACTTATCCCAATCATCTGCTTATGTCTGAAAATGTCGGCTTTAATTTAAAAAATGCAAAAGCGGTGATTATGTAACATATAACCAGTTTATCCAATTTAAAAGATTAATTAAAAGAATGCTTATGTTTATGTCTGCAATTCCTTAAAACATCTATGCTTATCAGTCCTCTTCCAGTGAAACCAGATGAACTATAGTTTCCCTCTCTGTCAGTTTGTCGGCTTCCTTGTATTTTCATTCCTTGGGGGATTCTCATCAAATTTCGCATGCGTATGAAATTTCAAATGTTTGGCCCCCAGGATTGGTGTATCGAGTTCACCATTTTTTTTTCAGAAAATTATTGTCAGCACTCTCACAGCTTCATCCCTTTGGGGATTCTCCTAACACTAAACACACTTATAAAGCATCAAAATATTTTGGACTAGCTGGAGTTTCAGGGTTGTTGGATAAAGGTCAAAATCACTATTACTGCTTTGAAAAAAATGACAACATGTGAACATAATCATGATCCAAACAAACTAAAGCAACAATATAAAAAAGTATTTACACGAAGACAAAGAGAATAATATCAGGTGTTCCGGGAGAATAAGCTGGTCCATCCATGTAAGTAATACTACGTTTTCAAATGAGAATATGGTATTCAACAACGTAACCAACAGGCAGTTTAACGGGCATCAAATACGTCCAGCATCATATCGCACCAAGAAATTGAATATTTTCAGTGAAATCACTATGACGATATTTATATTTCTTCATTATTTTCATCAACCTACATATCTTGAAACTTGTGTTATGACTTGTATAAAGTCAAGGTAACGTTTCTGAAAATCATTTTTAGCACTATAGCTGCTTCATTCCTTACAGGTTTTTGTTTAATTCGTATGCACTTACAAATGACCAAATACTTTTATTTCACATTGGTTATGAACTATATTGTCACTTAATACTTATTTGTTGTATTGTTACATTCAAAACCGTTACAAACATTTTTGTTTTCAAATTAATAGTAATACAGAGTATGTTTCTCAGTATAAAAATACCATTTAAATCTCACATCACTATCGAAATCAAATTTTATATGGTCTAATTAGAAGCGTTACACCTCACTTATAAGGTCACTGATCCAGCACAAAGTTACCTGGTGGGTTTTCACAGTGTACATCTTTCTGGTGTCAAAATATTCCGCGTATCATTTTGTATCCAATTACTTAGATGTCTTTCCATCATATCATATCTTTTCTTCTTGTTTTCTCTAAATCTGAATTTCCCTGCTTTTAGACAAGAATTAATTCCTCTAAAATGTTATATATTAAAGGCGTGGAATTCCTGCCGAGCCAATCTTGAATGGTTTCTGTGGTGACTTCGAAGTGAAAACGGATACCGACGAAGTGCAGCAGAAAAGCGTCTGTACAAACACTGCTTCTGCTTTTCCTGGAGACTGTTTTGTATTGGTCCATATGGGAATAGTCTTGTTATTGTCATTAGCGAAATCTATGGTTGTTTGGTGATACTGCACAACAAAGAATATCAACGATATGTAGTAAGCGAGAAGGGAGAGCAACACACCAATTATGAACGTTCATAATATGTGATGCGCATATCAACTTGAAAGATATTTCTACTTTATTCTTTACTCAGTTGCTTGTATTTGTGTTCTTTACGATGAAAGCAAAACTCTATTCAAGATAAATTAGAGATATTATGAAGATATTTGTTACGAGTCTACCGAACCCGTGTCATAGTTTTGCTATTTTGATTGAGCCGCTGTAAAATATATTTCCTAGTTGAACCATTCTCTATAGTAGTTGAAAAGTCTTAATTTAGTGTTTTAGAGTTAATTTTGGCAAAAGTTGTATACTTGATCATTTAGTAATGCATGGCATTATGATGGTAGTTTAAAATGAATAAAAATCTACAGATTGTATATACAGTTTCTATGATATAAATAAAACAGAAATTTGGTATCATACAAATTAAGTGAAATAACGTCTTTCGATTGGATAACAATTCATCAGATGAGTGCAACATTTCTACTAAATAAACAGTGTTACCATTTTATTCAATAAAATGTAATTAAAATGTAAACAATATGTATAGACTTGCAAAGTGATATCCGGGCAGATGATGTAGAAGAGGCTTCCTATTCCATAACGCCTGGTCGTATTATCATTTTACTTATTCAGCGGTATTCGTTTAAATCTATATCGTTTTGTATCAAATTTGAATTAATGTTTAATTGGTGTGTCAGTGTTTACTTTTTTATACATACAAATTCATGATGAAATGAAAAACAAAGCTAGTTTCGAGGGAAAATCCGACATGGCGATCCGCGAGTTGGGCCACAACATTCTGATCTTCCCAGACGTCTGTAGTTATTTCCCTTTGTTTCATTTAATCAACAATGGCCCGAGAATACAGTTTTACAATTATTTGATCTTTTGTCTAGTGTTCACTGTAATCATTTATATGCCACGCCTTGAATTTGAGGCGTTACATCTATTACTTTACACTTAACATTTTACAATATCGAAAACATCAAAAAAATATTAAATAAGGGCGGTCTTTTATATAGAGCTTCACATATCTTCTAATCCAATCTCGCTTCAATACTGGATTACTGAAGAGTGCTGGAAGGTAAAAACCGAAAGATATAGTACCATTTTTATTCTAAATAATACATGTAAATTATATAAAAGATGTCCTCTTCACCTGTGTTACATTGCAAGTAAAAATCAGTGTAAATAATTCTAACGAGTGCTAAATAGTTAGGATAAAGAATGATAGAACTGAACGAATTTGTAAATAACAAGTTTTTCTCTTCGGGGAAATTAATTGGTCATATTTTTGTGATATTAGAGTTAAACCATGTGAATATCACCTTTGAATACAAATTAAAAATTTGATGCATTAAAGCCAAACAATTAATTAAACTGAATAATACCTCTGTTTCGTCCTTTTAGGACACCCCCTGATTACGTTATGGTCTCAAACAATTGAAACCGAAGATGAAAATCTAAATAATGTGTATATACTGATTAATGTAGTCCTCTACTTTGGACTGGAAAGTCCACGAGCTGATAACTCAAAATCAAAACCAAACACACATATATATCGCTTACAGTTTGTAGGTCTGGAATAAGTTAGCAGCTACGACAGTAACTAACACACGGAACTTTAAACCTGCCTATAGGCTTGTTGATATTTATGCCCGTGTCCTATTTGTGGTATAATTTTAGATAAATTCTAGATATTCTAACAACCTAATAAAAGGTTATTATACAGTGATAATGCATTATAATGACCTTTGTGCATCATTGTGTATTATGCAATATATTATTAAGAACAATATTAATATCCCATCACGAAAACTACAGCAGTCTAGTTAAATTACCAAATTACCTACAACTACTACCAGACATCTTTCTGTCACTATGTTACTGTATTATGTCTGTTATTTATAACCGCAGTAACGTAATCACGTAATCTACAGGAGGCTGTGACAAGTGTAATACTTGACATTAAACACCAAACATCCCTCAGTATAGTGTACTAACAGTTTAAACATCACACTCCTGCCTGGTAAAATAAGGGAACACGTATTCTTTGTCAATTATACTGAACATGGATACTAAGTTGATCTTCTCCAATGTCATTGTTTTGATGTGTTGGGTGGTACTCGCCAGTGGATATATCACATACATTGCCATCAGACTACCTTTACAGGTAAGTAACTTGTATACTGATTGTTGTTATGTAACGTGTAAGGTTACTCAGGTATCGTGTCATCCGAGCTACATGTTAAATAAATTTAATATAGATTACGTCTAATACCAGATTTCTATTTAAAAATGACGACGTCACAGATATAAGAATGTAATATATGGCTTCCACTTGCTATGTTTTGTAACAAAAGGAAGAGCTAAGAGTTGAAATGAAGATATTTCACATGATCGTAATGTTGAACACAAGCCAACATAATTATAGTTATTAACAATATCTTTACATAGAGTTGAGATAAGCATCAGTCATAGGCTATATTAATTGTCATAATAGAAGTGATAAATAATATATAAAAGAAGAATGATTGATGAAAATCCAATAGAAACACAGTCCTCTAGTTTTTGGCATTTTTTGGTAAATAGACCACGATGCAATTTGACCTGAAAAGGACAATTCTATCGGTTCTCGATTTTTCTGAAATTTTCACCATAGGTGGATAGTATAATGACCCAATTATTTTTTTTAAATGTTTGGTGTGCAAGAACCAAAAGTACGTACTTCACCTCCACAAAAAATTGCCATATCTTTAAAAAATGCTAATAATTAATGTTTTCAAATTCAAGATCGCTTAACATTTTTATCTTTCAGAATTTTGTTACATATTTGACATCACAATGTCAAGATAAACATGCTAATTACAATACGGTATCAATTGATGCAATAATATATCTATTTAATAGGTTTTTGGACCAAAAACTGAACCTTGGTGTACACCCATGGTTCACTACATTACATGAGTTATAGCACAGGCCCCTGGGGCCTTTTGGATTTTTAAAAACTTATTTCCTGGTTTGTCTCTCAAGTTGCTACAAATAACACCCAGTTTGGTTTAAATTGGTTCGTGGGTAAAATTCTATTGTTCCTATATGAGGTCCTTAATGATATCCAGGCATTAAATGTGTTTATATCTATTCATAAACTTTTCAGGTTTTCCTATGAAGGTTTATAGGAAAATATGGTTATGTATTCTGAAATAAAAACAACATATCATGATTACGTTTATGATGTTAAATCATCATAAAGATAAATATGTTCACATTGATTTGAATGAGAAGTTTGAGCTTGGATTATGACTATTTTGACATGTTGGTATTTTCTTGTTCCTGTTGTTCCTGTTACCCAGACATGTGAGTTATTTTTTGGATTATTTTAGTTCTTTTCGTCAATTTGCTATACTGTTATTACGAATTATTGATATAACGAAGTTTGAGTGCTTCTCCTTTTTTTCCTGTTTGCAAAGGGTCAGAGGTCACCACCAGGGTCACCATGGCCACACCCAAAGGAAATGAAACTAACAACTGAAGCCCTTACTCTTGACAGATCGAGCTTTAAGATAAGATCTACAATCAAAGGCTGTGACGTCATTGACAATGGGATAACGCGGTTCAGGTCTAACCTAGATGTTGGATCTATAGACGACGCTCTTCAAACAACAGAAGACCTACAAATACATGTAGATAACAGTTCCTGTCAAGGATATCCCTATCTGGGAATGAATGAATCGTGTACGTACACTATGTTAGACGTAGTCAGGAATTAAACTTTACACATCCCTTATATCCCCAAATAGAGAAAAAATATACGGAATAAATGTACATTTCAATTATAATATAGGTTTATAACATTTGTTTGTACATTTGCATAATTATAACATCAGAGTTGACTTATTCAACCTGATTTACATGAGAATATTATGTTAATATTAATCACAACTTAGTATGATATTATTTGGATAATTTATTTTTGTTTAAGAACAAGTTGTTTTAAATTAACTGGCCGGATACTATATAAGGTTATGTATGTGTGTGGGTTTTGTGTTCCAGATACACTGAAAGTCGACAGACATTCCATCCTCCGTGCCAACACTGTATGGGGAGCATTAAGGGGTTCGTTATCAATAACATTTTATCAGAATGTGCTTCACGTTATAATTGGATTTCATTAATGGCCGTAATTGTCGGTTAAAGTATAGCTGTATCTTACGTATGAAAGTATTGGTACAGAAACTGACAATTCGTCAATCTTATCTTAATTAAATTTGTTATAAATATATATTGGAATTTGCGTATTATCTTTTCAGGTCTTGAGACATTTAGTCAGTTGCTGTATACTTTCCCTACAGGGCAGGTAACGAAACAATGCACATTCATTGTCATTCATGAGCATGTAATTCAGTCGTGAACATATTCCATTAATTCATACATGAAAGGAAATGACTCTTAAATTATCAATATACTGTGATATCTTCCTAGTGAATGAACCTCTATCGTACCAGTCAAAAAGATTGTTTCTAAAATCTATGAATCAATTCATCCAGGACGTTTCACTTTAATTTGTTGTTATTTCAGTTCTCATCAATTAAACATTAGTTGGGTTTAGTTTATTTGATAAATCAATCGTAATCATATTTGCAGATGCCTGCAAATAAAAAGTGGCCATATGACCAGTGTACAAACGACATTGAAAAACCATACTTTCAAATTATAACCAGGTTTTCAGCTAATTACCGTCCGATAGTAAAATGTAAACAAATATCTACTTTCTCTTCTTTGATGTATCGAAGGTAAGAATAAACAAGACGGAAATCTTCGACGAGCCCCGATTTCCACACCGTGGTATCATGCTGGATACTGCCCGTCACTTCATACCAGTACCTATCCTATTACAGAATTTGGTAAGTAAAATGTACATGTTACAGAAATGTATCCTGAACAGAGAACAATTGTAGGATCTGTAAACATTCGGTAAATCTCACACAAAGATAAAGAAACATCATATATATAAATACAAAAGCATCAAATACCAGGATAACGAATTTGGTTTATAAATAAGAGATCTACGGTAAATTCCCTCATTATATACTGATGTACCTAACATTATATACACATTTAAAATGTTGTTAATAGGTGTAGTATAACCTTTTATAATTCATTTTCATACACAGAGCGAAAGACGATATCTGGCATTTCAAAATCGATACAAATGTCTTTTTTTTTTTTAAATTGCTACTCAATTGTATTGTATAATGCCTTATTGGTTTAGGATGCTATGTCTTACAACAAGTTCAACGTATTCCATTGGCACATTGTTGATGATCAGTCCTTCCCATACCAGAGTATCAAATTCCCCGGACTATCACAGAAGGTAAGTTATTGTACGTTTGATATACAATATCCTTTATGTAGATGTTATGTATTTAAGAATAAGATGTACTTTTACATACTCACAAGAGTCTCACTTCAGTGATCAATAAAAGCACCCCCGCTCTCTCTGTTATTTTTTTCACGCGTGTCATCGAGTTTAAAGTTGATCGAAATGTCGTATTTACTTACCGACCGATATTCCTTTTTCTCTTTAGGGAGCATACAGTCCCGTTCATGTGTATAGCCAAAAGGACATACAGAGAGTGTTGCAGTATGCTAGATTGCGGGGTATCCGAGTCATTGTCGAGTTTGATACGCCAGGGCATACCCAGTCCTGGGGGAAGTTTAATCGGGGTAAGTAGCAAGTCGCCAATGCATAACAGGTCATGAAGAACGTTCGACTAGATAGGGTACCAACATGCGAAGGCACATCAAGACATAGGGACGTTTTACTAGGATAAATAAAAGTAAGTTAGGCTCACACTTAGTAGCAGGGAAATGGCAAACTCGTAACGCAGGGTTTCAAAAGATGCAGGATGATGAAAAGTATGGATAAGTTTTATGGTTATCACAGTGATCTCATTGAGAAAACTTCTATTTCTCTGTGTGATAGAAAGCTGGACGTGTTTTGTGTTCGTTCGTTTCCATGTTGGTTCCAACATTGTATTCCTTGTTCTCATTTGCAAAACGTTACATTACTTGCATGTACTTGGATTCACAAAGGTTTATACGTGGTTTTATTCTCCTTGTACAGGATACAATACTTTATTTTACAAGGATGGAAATTTAAGTATTCAAAGTTCCTTTATCTTGTCCTGAGAATTACGACTAAATATCAAATGTTTCATATATTTTTTTTTATTTCAATGAAAGTAAATGCTTTCAGATACATTCGGCATTTTCATAGGAAAATAGTCTTCATAAATAGAACTGGTGTATTGTTTTTGCAGATCTGCTAACTCCATGTTGGAATGACGGGGAGAAGGGAAAGGCAAAATATGGGCGGCATGGCGAATACGAGATAATGAATCCTATGTTAAACTCCACCTTCGCATTTCTGGAGGAGCTGTTCTCTGAGGTGACATCCGTGTTTCCAGATGATTACATACACTTAGGAATGGATGAAGCATATCACCATTGTTGGTACGTTCGCTGCAAGATATCGCCCAACTTCTACTTAACGCAAAGTCATCAAGTCATTACTATTCGTTGTTATACGTTTGGGGGGGACGTATTGGAATTGAAACCCCCAACCCCCTCCAACCCGTTCATCACTGATAGTGCACTGGATTGATGTGCTATTGATATCTAAGCTGGTATCAAACCTTATCGTCAAAGCGTCTCTGCCTGACGTCTCGTCTGTGCCAAGTCATGGAAGTTGACGTACCCCAAGTCAGGAACAACATTATAGGTACATGTTGAGAAAAGCGCTTCTGACATACCGAGTTTTAGATGTAGAACGTTTCTCTGAGTGCGGAAAATCAAATTTCTCGTTTATCTCCTGACACATGTATATGGCAAGACTCAAGCTTAATCATGTAAGCTACACTGTTTGTACATTCATCCATGTTCTCACCATAGTGACGCCAGTCTTCATATACCATACCTATTCAGAAAATAATAAAATAACAGTAAAATTCATGCATTGTGAAATATGTGTTCTTAACATATGTCTATTACTGAAAAAATTGTCTTAATTTTGGATAGGATCCTGTGACATATTTCTCAAGAGTATTGTGAATTTTTTGTCATATTTGTTATTTTTTTCCTTGATATCGTCGATACCCGTATTCTACAAATGTTTATGATTAGTCGATTTTAATACCACATGAGAATTAATTATTGAAGTATTTCAAAATACTGTATATGTATTACCAAACTTATTAAAAAGTACAAGTATCAGTTATTTTTTGTGCATTGATTTTTAAAGTCTTTGTTTCTGCATGATGTATTTATGCCGTATTCTTTTCCACTTCTTGCTTAAAGAAGCATTATTTGAAATTAATAATTCTATGTGTGTTTCAGTTGTCTATTTATGGAAGATATTGATGACTAGTTGGAATGTCCTACTGGGATGTTCTCAACAGTGTACCACAGTGCTGTTGCACCATTAATTCAATTTCTGTTCCACACTATTCAGAGGATGCATAGATAAACATTTCACAATATATTACAATCACTCGATGCATCGATTGAAGACCTCTCAATGACCATAGCTGTTAAATAGGGTTAAACAGCATAAAACAGAACAATCCAAACCACAACATTTTTTTCAATAATAGCAACTGCGTTTTTTATATATAGTTTAAATACTTAAATCAAAAAGTTGATAGCTAAGTGATACATATATTAATGTTACACGGAGTTCGACACAAAAATGAAGGCGGCTTGTTTACCAAAAATGTCTATTATACACGTTTCTTAATTTAAGACTCAAGTATTGTTTCATTTCCAGTCGTATTTGTTGGAATGACAAATTCCATCATCGGATATCTCGAAATTAGTTTTACTGGTTATTTTTATTCATTATAAATAACATATCGACTAATCCGTTTTCTTATTGTCACCTATAACATTACCCCCAATTTTGGTCTTAATCGAAAGTTTGACCTATGTGAGTTTGAAACATACGGAGTCTATATAAAACGATACTTACTTTTAAGTTCTGATCGCTCATTTTTGCGGAAATGTATAACGGCTAGGTCGCCCGTTGTCAGTATGTGTCCGGTTCGGGTGTTTTGTTGGGGCCTTCGGCAATATACTTCAGTGTGGAAAAGTAGTCTTCTGTTCCGCACAAACAAAAACAGAACAGATACACACATTCACTACATGCACCGTGCTCTACTTGCAACATTTGGGGAATAAACATAACTGTTGATATTACTTTAATATAAATTCAAACCAAATCTGAACTCATATAGTAAATTCCGACCCTGATATCGTCGTATTCTTTCTACCAAGATTGTTAAATTCAAAATTCATCATTTAATTGTTGCAGGGCTTCCAACCCCGACGTGGCAGACTTTCTGACCAGGGAGTTAGGTTTAAATGCCTCTGACTTTTCTGGTATGGAGCAGTACTACATTCGACGCACGTTGGATATCGTGTCGAACACACAAAAGAAGGCAATCATTTGGGAGGATCCCATTGAAGTCGGACTGGAGGTAAGTCTCTCCCTAAGATAAGATTTGTTTAATATAAGCCACATGTATAACAAGGTAAATACAAAGCAAGTACCAGGCATTCTGACTACAGAAATATTTCCTAATACTTTTCGTCAACTTGCAACTCTTGAAACCCTGTGTTGTGAATAAAGATTGTCTCGTGTGTTATTTCAATATATTGAACAAGTAATGTTGAAGACAGTTTAATCAATAGCATAATTTCTGTAATGTTTCTATCTTATCGCAGAGTATTGAAAATGTATTCGTTATAGTAAAATTTGCAAACATGTTAATACAGAGTAACATTAGATCGTTGAGCTTATTTGGGCGTATCATACTGATTGATGAATATGATTTTTGAGAATCCGCTATTTTATGAAAAAAACATGTTTCTAGACGACTGTGGTTTCGGAACAACCATTAATAGTTCGGTCTTAAACTTTGTTGGTCTTCGAGGAAAAAACTTGTTCATTGCCTTAAAGTCATTAAAATAAAAGAATTGGTTTTATAAATTGTGGAAAAGTGGTACGGTTCAGAATACACACATGTACTAGATGTTCCTTTAAAGTTATAAGATATATGAAAACTGAGAAATGTATTAATTATTAATCGAGTACATCTCTTCATCTAAAGACTGATATTTCTTCCAGTCAATTCTGATATTCAACAGTTGCTTACTGGGTTTCGAAATCAAGGTTCTTAATATCACTGACGAGTTGTTGATGGACAAAATAACTGTATGGTGCATATTAATTCATTATTTGGCTTTGTTGTATCTCATTCCAAGTTTGTATTGAAACGTGTTATTCATTTGGGTGTATTTTGTACACTCTTTTTACCATATTAGACAACGCTGTGGCACGTGGTGATATACACGTCTGATTTACTTTATCATTCCATATAAAAGGCAGACAAGGACGTTTTGGTCGAGGTATGGAAAAACAAACAGAAATGGAGCTCCAATATGCTAAACGTGGTACAGAGAGGGTATTCAGCGATTCTGTCCTCTTGTTGGTATCTTAACTATATCCAGTACGGACAACAGTGGCGTCAATACTACGAATGTGACCCACACAACTTCAGTGGTACGGTATATTGATCCCCAGGCCAACGAAGTTAGCGGGGGATATTCAAATAGGTTCCGTTACTTCCTTCCGTCCTCCCAGATGCTGCTTTCCGTATGATATCATTAAAAGGACTGGTTGGATGTTGGTAAAACTTGGTTGGTACACTCGTTACATTAACCATAATCCCTTAGCCAAGTTTGATTAACAGCAAATTCGGTTTCCGCAAATTCATGCATATTTTATGTGACCTGATTTGCTGATATCTTTCGGCACTCTAACTGAATGCTTTCCGCAAGTTATATTTTTAAAGAACAAATGAATTATGATGAGACTTTGCTTAGTAGATTTGTTACCTTATCCTTTTGCTCTAGTTTGATTATCGGTGAAGTCTGTGCATATTTAATAAGGCTGCTTTGAACTGATTAGCTGGTATCTTTTCCAGTTTTCCATGTTGCTCACTTTAAATGGATATATTTTACAAATGAATATGGGCGGGTGATCTTGATGACTATGTCCTTGTTTGTAAGATATTGGTGTGTAGGGCTAAAAACACGTTTATAATACTTTCTTTTAATATGTCGGAATGAACTCGTCAGAGATGGCTGATTGGTTACCTAGATATTCATAACCTTAAACAAACATAATGCTGTTGCAGATTGGTTACCGATATAAAACAATCAAACATTCTATTTCACAAAAAACAACAACATTGTGTTCATTTATAAGATACAAGAATTAAACTGACTCACAAACCTTTGTCTTGTTGCAGGAACGGCTCAGGACAAGTCACGAGTTTTAGGAGGTGAGGCATGCTTGTGGGCCGAGTACGTGGATGGCACCAATCTTCTCTCCAGACTTTGGTAACGTATGATATACTACCACTTAGACACAATGTAACGTTTCTGTTTTATAATCATTTGAATTGTTTTGTTTCGTTCGATTTTTTAATCCATTTTGCTGCAGCATGTCTTTAACTCTATTCACGTTATTTGTATTAAGCTGATGTTGACTTTTATTTCGCTGACGCTCTGTTGCCGTCTAAATCTTTTTGTCGTCTCCCTATTTTATGTTGATCGGTCACTTTTGTTATCGGCTGTTTTGGCCTCTATTGTTTATTGTCAGTTATTTTCATTACAATATATAACACTTTTAAAAGATAAAATAACCAACAACAATTAAATAACATTCAAAACCAGGCCTCGAGCGTCCGCCGTAGCTGAGAGATTGTGGAGTCCTGAACACATGAAGAACCCAGATGATGCTTCTTTCAGGCTAGACCAGCACAGGTGCAGGATGCTTAGGTAAGTTTGACAAGAAGAGAATGGTCTTGTGTAAATGGCGGGGGAGTGGGTCAATATACCCTTACCAAACAGCTATATGGGAAAGCTGTCCACATTGGTTTCGTAGTAGGAAAAGATCGAGATAAGTGGCTGATGTAGAAGAGCTTGTCGTGTTCTGGTTTTCTAATTCCGGTGGCTATGTACGAGAATCAGCGCTATGTTGGCTTCATTCCTTATGTGATTTTGATCAAACTCACACACATATAAACATCTATGATATCTTGACCAGGTGTCAGTTTCAGTGGGTTTTTTGGTGCTTTTTTGTTTTTGTTTTTTGTTTTTTGTTCTTTGTTATTTTTTTTTGTGGGGGGGAGGAAGAGAGCTGAATAAAGACTAGTGTTACTATTTTTAGAAAACCATTTACGGCGCTCTAGCCTATAAAGCACAACAATATTATTAACAAGTCTGCATTTGAGGATTGTTAGGTCAACGTCACTTAAAAGAAAATCATTGCCTGCACTCTAGAAGCTTACAGGATTTACAAATCATATAGTATATTTGTTTCACGGCTGTAATGAAACTGCCTTGTCAGATTTTCATACTTATTTGTTGCATTTAAATGTTCATATTGAAGGCGAGGAATTCCTGCTGAGCCAATCTTGAATGGTTTCTGTGGTGACTTCGAAGTGAAAACGGATACTGACGAAGTGCAGCAGAAAAGCGTCTGTACAAACACTGCTTCTGCTTTTCCTGTAGACTGTTTTGTATTGGTCTATATGGGAATAGTCTTGTTATTGTCATTAGCGCCATCTAGATTGGATGGTGAGTGATTCCGCTGGCGAGGGGCTTCATCACAAAGGAAAGTAGCGCCATCTAGATTTGATGGTGAGTGGTTCTACAGTCTAGGTGCTTCATCACAAAGAAAGCCATTGATATGTGTTGAGCAAGAATGGAGATCAACATGTCTATCATACATGTTCATAACTATAACTAATTTGTGATGAACAGAGCAACCTTAATAAATTTTAATGTTTTATCCTCTCAGTTGTGTTCTTTTCTGTTATATACGATAAATACATGGCTCCATTCTGGATAACGCTTAAGATATAAGTTTTAGAGTTGAAATAAAATGTTTTGTGATGTATATCATACAGAAATTTGGTATCGTGCCAAGTTGGTGAAATAACTACTTTTCATTGGATAACAATCATGTATTAGATGAGTGCAACATTTCTACTCAACAAACAGTGGCGGTGTTTTATTGAATAAAATTAACAAAACAATATGACATGGAAAGTGACTACGGGGCAGATGTCGTAGGTGAAGTAGAAGACGCTTCCTATTTCGAAATGCCTGGTCTTATTATCCTTGTCTGGATAATAAGATAGTAATATTATCCTTTGGGGGTATGCGGGTAAAGCGAAATAGTATTTTCTCCTTGTTTAATCAAATTTGAATTAAAATTCTGTTGACGTATATGTGCTTACTTTTACAGTATTTACACATACAAATTAATGATCAGATGAAAAGCTAGTTTCGAGAAAAAAATCCGACATGTTGATCCGCGAGATGGGCCACAATATTCTGATCTCCCCAGACTTCTGTCAAAAGGTAATTGTAATCTTTCATTTTCCACGTCTAAAATCTTATATGTTGCATCTATTCATTTACAATCAAGACTTTTCAAAATCCAGAAATATCTAAAATTAATAATATTGATTGGGTCGATATAATAAGGGCGGTATTTTATCTATAACTAAACATACTGCTGAAGCTGGTTTCGATTGTCCTCACTTCCAATGTGGATCTCTACTCCTTTTGAGTGATGGTGTTTACTGAAAAGTCCTGGAAAAAGAAAACTGGAAAATTTGATGCCGTTTTTATTCTAAGAAAAACGTTAAAATTACATAACCTTGTGTATAAGAGGTCATTTTCATCTGCGTTACATCTGAAATAAATTGTAGTGTTAATATCACTAATAAGTTATATATCCTTTTGGTGAACTTATAATTCTTTCCAGGAAAATACGAATTCAACATATTTACGAGTTATTGTAGTGAAACCATGAACACTACGAAATATCAGACGACATAAAAAATCTGATGAGTTCGAAATTAATTTTGTATTATTATTATTATAGATAGGTTTTAAGCGAAAATTATTCTAATTACGCTGCTTTCATCAATATTGGCATCGTTATTTAATGTTAAAATAGTGTCCTAGTTCTTCTAATTTAGTTTTAACGTCGTATGTTTGCTAAGTTTTATATAAAAAGTTATTATTATTACAACATTAACAGCCCTCGACACATAAAAGGTCATCAAGACCATAAAACTGTAAAACACACAGCGATCCATAAGGAAATAACATCCAACAAACTAAAAGGTAAAAGACAAATGATAAAAATCTTAGATAGATATATTATCACGGACGATTAAAATTGTAATGCATAGTCTATAATACAGACCAACATCTTCCAGATAACCTAGAATTTTACAAATCTCAACAGTTTCAAAAGGGTTTTTAGACCTGTAATGCTACGATAAAAACAGTCTCGAGTAGACAGAAGGTCAATGCAGTCCAATAAAAATGTTTAACGGTGAATGGTTCATCATATCCTATGCACCGAGGATTATCTTCGCCAACATGTACGGATGTGTGAGGTATGTATGACCCATCCGAAGACGGGCAAGGACAACTTCGTCTCGGTGGTTGTCTCTCTAACCTGGAGACCATTCACCGATGATAGGTGTTACTGAATGCAATTTATTATTTGTATATTGATTCCATTACTCCTGCCACTGAGCTATTACAATTTTGATAAATGGTTTTATATAAAAAGAAAGAAAAAAGTAAACGGACATTGATATTCAATATTGGGCAAGTACAACCTACACAATTGGCAGTCTTATTTGTCGTTATTATTCAAATTTATTCATTTCTGAACCATATGAAAGACTGTACAAAATCCACACAAGTGAATGGCACCTTTCAATACAAACGTACAATGAGATACAGTAGAACCAAACAATGAATTAAACTGCATCATACACCTATTTCGTCCTTCTAGGACCCATCAGTAATGTTACATCATACACCTATTTCGTCCTTCTAGGACCCATCAGTAATGTTACATCATGCAGCTGTTTCGTCCTTCTAGGACCCATCAGTAATGTTACATCATACACCTATGTCGTCCTTCTAGGACCCATCAGTAATGTTACATCATACACCTATGTCGTCCTACTAGGACCCATCAGTAATGTTACATCATACACCTATGTCGTCCTTCTAGGACCCATCAGTAATGTTACATCATACACCTATTTCGTCCTTCTAGGACCCATCAGTAATGTTACATCATACACCTATGTCGTCCTACTAGGACCCATCAGTAATGTTACATCATACACCTATGTCGTCCTTCTAGGACCCATCAGTAATGTTACATCATACACCTATGTCGTCCTACTCTCAGGAATGTTACATCCATCAGTAATGTTACATCATACACCTATTTCGTCCTTCTAGGACCCATCAGTAATGTTACATCATACACCTATGTCGTCCTTCTAGGACCCATCCGTAATGTTACATCATGCAGCTGTTTCGTCCTTCTAGGAACCATCAGTGATGCTAGGGGCCTACATTTTGAATCCTAGGAATCGACTGAGGAAAATCCAAAGTGATTGAAATGAACGTCGTAATTTTCATATAGCAGATCAGTTTAATTTTTAATAGGATTTAATAGGATAATATTGAACGCAGGCATTTCTGCCTCTGTATTCACATCAATACAATGTATTATTAATATAAACATAATATATAGATATATGTAAAGTACATGTGTATTTTCTTAACCTTGTCACTGTTCGAATAAATTAAAATATGGGACGCAGCACGTCACAGCAAACCTCGGAGATTAAAAGTACACCAGCAGTGTCTACTGCCAGCAATCTCGAAGATTTGTACAAAAGACACACAAGTGAATAAATAGCGCACCTTTTCAGTACAAATTTGAAAATATGCACAGTAATTCGATATGCTTTGAATTTTCCACGAATTCAGAGGAGGACCACGTGATGAAGATATATATATATATGTTCATAATCGGATAAACCTTCTCCGCGACCATCCTCGGTACATGTGGTGTCTCTGAGACAACGCACTGGGAAAGAAATTTTGAAAATATCCGGTTGACGATATCTTCGCCTTACCCCACCTGTTGTCTAGGACCACAGTGTCACAAGCAATAACTTCATATCAAGGGGTATTGAGAATTTATCATTTCTATTTATAGTACTCAGTTCTGTAGAGTTCACATGTTTGAGTAAATTTATTTGGAATGCATTAACCTGTTTCCAATAGATAGTAAAATAATAATTGGAGTAGGGCAAATTTCTTTAGTTATTAATTAAATCTACCTCTATTTTGTAACATATGTGTACATTATGCTTACATGTATAAATCTTTCGATCATCTAACATATTATTGTATCGATTATTTCAATCGTACAAAGAAAAAAACTATACAGTTTTCTAATCAGATTATGTTTCATCAAATTCAACCGCGTTGTACATCGATTAATCTTTGTTTTCAGAATGCTGTAGAAGTGTTATTTTTAAAGTTTCCGTACCCTTCCGTTCGGTTTCATGGTCCGTGTTTTAGTTGTACATGCAAGGACAAAAACATGGCGGCGTCTTTGCGACACATGCGTGGGACTAAGCATAGGCTTTCGCGGTTATGGAGAGGGTTAAGAGATTGCAATGCTGCATGTTTTACTACCAGTGCAACAAGGGTAAACTATCTAAGACTTTTCACATCTCGCATCGTTATGGTTGTCATCACACAATAGTCGAGACTTTCTACTTTCGTATTTACATCACTGACAGTTGTCTGGTTGTGGCTGTCAGGCAGACGTGTTTTACTGTTAAAGTTTTGCTTTATTTGTGTTTGCTTCATATGAAGTTACTTATCACATTCCACTTACCGTGTTTGAATAAGAAAGTAGCTAGAGATTGAACAAAGTTATCCGTTTTTGATGGCGAAGTTATGGTTCTTTTGCTGGGAAGGGAGATAATTATTCCATACACATTCTCTTCTCATTTGAAATTGACTTGAGCAAGACCTAGCAAAATAAGCAAGAATATCAATGTTGACATTTTCCAGGAAATATTTGTATTGATTGCATAGAATTTTATCAAAAAATAAATTTGATATGACAAATTAGAGCTATATAATACGGAGGGATAAGAAACTGCCCAACAGATATATCACTTTGTAATGTTACATAGCAATCGAATTTGAGTTACTATCCTTGCTGTCTTTAAAAAGCTATTTTCTCTTTAAGTAGGTAGTTAATCTTTTGAAAATAAACATAAGTAGAAAGTGTAATAGTTTTCAATTTGATTGCACTTGATTTTTTTGACATTTTAATTCTGTTAACTTTTGTTATTTGTAAAACAAAATTCTTGTTTCATCTGTTTACATCTGTAATACTATCTTGTTTACCACTTTCTGCCAAAAATATGAATGAAATTATCTTTAAGGCATTCAAACTCAGAATAATTTTCTGATTGACTTGTGTACGTTTTGTGATATCCACTTGAATTTATTAGTATTACTTTATGAAAATGAGATAGACTTTAGCTTCTTACAGACTGACGAAATGACCTCAAGCTCCAGAATCCACAATTTCATTGAATTCTACATTCTTACAATTCTATACATATACACATGTCAATATATAATTATATCAATAAAAAAAAATATGTGAATAATTTTTTTTCCAGAATAAAGGCCTGGTTTTAGGTTTGTTTGAGCCTGAAGAAGAAAATGACAATGCCTCACCATCTTTCACAAGGGCGACACAGAACTTTGATGATAAAACGAAACAGAAAGTCACACATCACCTTCAGCTGTATGTACTTGTTATGCTATACATGTTAATGATGTTTAGTTTCTAAGGCGAGTCAGAACTGTTGGTTTCCTGACTGTAATTTGTATGTTAGGCCTTCATTTATGTTTGATTGTATCTGTCAGTTTGAAAAATGTTGCATAAAAAATTCATATTATATTGATAGTCTTCATAAGCAGAACTACATATATAATAGAAAATATTAGCTTGCAATAAAAATGGCAATTCGTCATTCTAAGTATACTGCTGACAATGAAATAACATTATATTTAAACAAATATCTCCAGATTGAAAAAAAACCTGAAGAAGGGTCAGACCAGAATATTTTATGACCTTGACCCTGAATACTCGAGTGTGGCTGTGACTTGTGTGGGGAAAAAGAGTGCAACATATGATGAAGTGGAGGGAATGGATATGGGACGGGACCAAATCCGAGCTGCTGTTGCATGTAAGTGAAAGTTGTTTTATTGCAAGAAACTGTCTGATACATGTAGTGTATCTATAGGGGCAGAAGGGGTGTGTCAAACTATTCCAACATTCTGTCAACGTTTATATATCAGAAGTGTTCATTGACTCCAGACCAACAAAAAATGTTGATAAAATGTCAAGAAATCAGATTGACGGGTTAAAATGTTTGGTATTTTCTTTTATGTGTTTGTACATGTTATAACCTTTATCTTCATTACAAAAATCTTGGTAATTTTTTTTTTAGTTGTCCTCTGCTTTGATTAACTGCATTTTTAACATAAAAGTTTTCTCCAACATGTGTGAATGTCAGTGGCTGATATTTTTAGAAAATGAAAACAGACATTAGTAAATAAAATCTTGGTTATGACTTGGATCAAAACTTGAAAATTACAGGTTTAATGCTTTTAGATATATCTCTAATTCTTTGCCTATAATAAGCTTTCCATATTACTAAAACAGAATATTTGAGTGGTTTATTTTTGGCCAGGAAAACAAGTAAATTTACAGATATAAAATCAACTGATGTTAAACAGTTTGAATGCATCATGAATTTGCCTTTTATTTATGATCAGCAAGTGTTCGACAGCTGCAAGACATCGGTGAAACAGAGGTGTCAGTGGACCCATGTGGGGATGCAGAAGGTATCTACTTTTTTCATTCATATATATTTCATAGATTCATGTCTTAGGTAAGAAACTTATCAGGAGTTATTTTATCAAGGTTTTAGGTCATTATAATTTTTCACTAATATTAATTCTTTACTTATAATATGAATGTGAGTAAATGATAATACGAGGAGTGAAGCAATCAAAAAGACACATTAAAAAGTTACCTGTCAGACATCAGGAGGTGTTTGGGTCTCGTTATAACTGTACTTCAGTTTTGCAGATGTGCATAGAGAAATAGAATAATGTACTTCTCAATGCTTTCTTAAATAGCAGCAGACAACAATGCATGTGTTCAGAATACATGCCATCACACATTGAACATTATTGCAGATACCAGTATAACAGCCAATTTTCTGCTGATTCTATATGTTGACCTATCATGGTTTCTTTTTTTTAACAGCTGCTGCAGAGGGTGGCCATCTTGCACTGTTTGTTTATCAGGAACTAAAGGCTGAGAAATCACATCAGGCCCATGTCAATCTTGAATGCTTTAATGATTATAGCTCCAATAGGTATGTTTTGATAGAACAAAACTGTGATATACAATCTCATGTTTTTGATATAAACACATACATCTCTGTTATCATAAACCATAATAAATGATTTATTGACTTAAAGTAAATGATATGGCATTTCATTGACAAATGATGACTTTTTATACACGATAGAGACAAAGTCATCAAGCAATGGAAAAGAGGTAAGATTCTGGCTGATGGCCAGAACTTTGCTCGACACCTAATGGAGATGCCAGCAAATAAACTGACCCCAAGTCACTTTGTGGACCTTGTCAATACAAGACTGACCAATACAAACAGATGTTCTGTAACTGTCAGGTGAGCTTCAGATGAAAGTTTTCCACAACCTTGAGTCCCTTTTTGTACTTTTTAGGACTTACCTGTGTAAACTTGAGTCCCTACTTGTACTTGGTAGGACACTATTTTACCTGTGTAAACTTGAGTCCTTACATGTGCTTGGTAGGACACTATTTTACCTGTGTAAAGTTGAGTCCCCACTTGTACTTGGTAGGACATTATTTTACCTATGTAAACTTGAGTCCCCACCTGTGCTTGGTAGGACACTATTTTACCTATGTAAACTTGAGTCCCCACTTGTACTTGCTAGAACACTATTTTATCTGTGTAACCTAGAGGCCCTTGGACAATCTGTTGTCTATTCCTTTTATGCCACTGCTCATGTGACACTCATACATCCTTAAGGGTCTGTGTTTGTCCAGAAGTTAAGAACCTGCAGATATCCTCATACTTTGGGATGGTAACTATAGATTTTCTCATCTTTTGTTTTACAGAGACAGAAAGTGGATTGAATCACAAAAGATGGGATCATTTCTGTCTGTGGCCAAAGGATCAGTAGAAGAGCCATTCCTCCTTGAGGTGGATTACAAGGGAGACAATCCCTCCAACCAGAATCCACTGGCCTTGGTGGGGAAAGGAATTACTTTTGACACGTATGTATTGAACAGGAAAACCATAAAGTAAAGTCAGTTTCAATAAAAGAGAGTAGTAATATCATTTTTGATGCTTGTCTCATCGAAAACTGTGGTCACTAATGCATCGTAAACTGTGGTTGCTATTGCATCTAAAACTTCGATCGCTAATGCATCTAAAACTGTGATCGCTATTGCATCTAAAACTGTGATCGCTAATGCATCTAAAACTGTGATCGCTATTGCATCATAAACTGTGATCGCTATTGCATCGAAAACTGCGATCACTAATGCATCGAAAACTGTGATCGCTATTGCATCGAAAACTGCGATCGCTAATGCATCGAAAACTGTGATCGCTAATGCATCGAAAACTGTGTTCGCTAATGCATCGAAAACTGTGATCGCTAATGCATCGAAAACTGTGATCACTAATGCATCAAAAACTGATCGCTAATGCAAAGACAGTCTATTCTGATGTGTGCAATCAAACATGAGCTTTTGACCATTTTCTCTAGATCCTGGATTTGAGACACACTGGCGATGGAGGATTGCATCTGTTGAGTTGTTTTCCCATCAGTGGTATATTGGTTACCTCTTTGGGTTTTCCTCCAACATCCAAAATAACATTAATTTCGTTCCCCTAGAAACATTATAATGAAAGGTCTACAAAACTTATGTTGATTGCTGACTTGGAAACAACATAAAATGAAGGTGCATTTCCAATTTTCATTTTCATGAAATGTAAATTTACTACAGAACAACTGATTAATGAATATATCTTATTAATTCTGCTATAAGCCATGTAGGCCGACACAGTAGTAAAGGATTCAGTCTTATTACAGGACAGTGATATTATTAGTTGGCATTTCTCCTGAAACTACACAGTAAATGTACAATTTATGTATATAAGGCTGGGGGAGGGGCTTATATCAAGGCATGGGCTTTTTGGAGAAATATACGGTGAAAAAACCTGTAAGAGTCCATTGGAAAATTCATAGGCAAAATTTAAGAGTCAGAGAAGACAATTTCATTTACCCAGTAACCACTTATTTTTTCAGTGGTGGTATATCTCTGAAGCCACCGGCAGACATGGACAAAATGAGAGCAGATATGGGTGGGGCAGCATGTGTGTCTGGAACACTACTAGCTCTTGGTAACCTCAATATTCCTCTTCATGTTAAAGGTGAGTATGTATGTCAGGAAGACTTCTAACTCTTGGTAACCTCGATATTCCTCTTCATGTCAAAGGTGAGTATGTATGTCAGGAAGACTTCTAACTCTTGGTAACCTCGATATTCCTCTTCATATCAGAAATCATCTCTTGAATGGTTTGCTATATAACATTTAGTGATATGTTAACTCCATAATGGATATTTTAAATTTCAAATGACAGTGACAAAAATTTTAAGTGTATTGCCAGAAAAAAAAGCTAGTTTATTTCCTTATGAGTGAGACAACTTTCATCTTAGTCAGTAACTGATCTGAAATTGTGTATGGTAAATTTTGTGATGATCTCTTGTTAAGTTTTGTTATAAACTGATAAATGACAGAATCTTGCACTTTTGCTGCAAACTACAACAAAGTATTTGAAACTATAAAGTGACTTACGACAATTGACCACAACATCTGAAATGATTCCAGTCAGTTGTAATATATAACTTGTGATCTTTTTGCAAACAAAATGGTTTTTGGCAAAACTGCAGCAGTGTTTTTCCTGCAGTTTGAAATTTACAAGTAAGTATTAAAAGGGAATTTCTTCAATTCAGATAAACGATTCAAGGTACTTTGTTGGTAATAAGGATGGTGGGTAATTAAATGTATTCCACATCTAAATTTATTGTTAAGTAAAATACAATGTCTTTTGTAGGTACTAACAACTGCGATAAACTGGTATACCTGTATCTATATAGTACATTATGTATCTATGGTTACAGTGTTTATCCCACTCTGTGAGTTGTATACCTGTATCTATACAGTACATTATGTTTCTATGGTTACGGCATTTATCCCACTCTTTGAGTGGTATACCTCTATTTATATAGTACATTATGTTTCTATGGTTACAGCGTTTATTCCACTCTGTGAGAATATGGTAGATGGCCGCTCAACAAAACCTGGTGATGTAGTAACAGCCATGAATGGTAAAACAATACAAGTATGTGTGAAGTGCACCATCGGAAACAGTCTTGATATTGTTTGTGTTAATTTATAATTCACCCATGTGATTTACTTGATTGTGATACTATTCGGAAACAGCTCAGACTGACTCAAAGTCAGACATTAGTGTTTTTGTAAGACTTAATAACAAAGAAATATCATTCAACAGTAATAGATATGGTTGGGCTTTTACAGCATGTTTGCTTATTATAAAATAGATATTTCAACATGTCTTTGGGGTTTACTTGTTTTTACTTTAACATTGTATAATTTCAAATATTCTTAAGTTTCAATTGCTGTCAATTATATAAACTGGTTAAAACATACATAGGCCAGTTTTCATTGTCCCAAAAGCAGAGACAGAACAGATTTTGAGAGAGATATATAGGATAAGTCATAGTCATTATGAAAGTTTTGATGTATTTTCCTTGGCAGATAGATAATACAGATGTCCTGATGTATTTTTCCTTGCCAGGTAGATAATACAGATGTTCTGATGTGTTTTTACTTGTCAGGTAGATAATACAGATGTCCTGATGTATTTTCCTTGTCAGGTAGATAATACAGATGTTCTGATGTATTTTCCTTGTCAGGTAGATAATACAGATGTTCTGATGTATTTTCCTTGGCAGATAGATAATACAGATGTTCTGATGTGTTTTTACTTGTCAGGTAGATAATACAGATGTCCTGATGTATTTTCCTTGTCAGGTAGATAATACAGATGTTCTGATGTATTTTCCTTGTCAGGTAGATAATACAGATGTTCTGATGTATTTTCCTTGGCAGATAGATAATACAGATGTTCTGATGTATTTTCCTTGTCAGGTAGATAATACAGATGTTCTGATGTATTTTCCTTGGCAGATAGATAATACAGATGTTCTGATGTATTTTCCTTGGCAGATAGATAATACAGATGTTCTGATGTATTTTCCTTGGCAGATAGATAATACAGATGTTCTGATGTATTTTCCTTGTCAGGTAGATAATACAGATGTTCTGATGTATTTTCCTTGGCAGATAGATAATACAGATGTTCTGATGTATTTTCCTTGTCAGATAGATAATACAGATGTTCTGATGTATTTTCCTTGTCAGGTAGATAATACAGATGTTCTGATGTATTTTCCTTGTCAGGTAGATAATACAGATGTTCTGATGTATTTTCCTTGTCAGGTAGATAATACAGATGTTGTGATGTATTTTTCCTTGTCAGGTAGATAATACAGATGTTCTGATGTATTTTCCTTGTCAGATAGATAATACAGATGTTGTGATGTATTTTTCCTTGTCAGGTAGATAATACAGATGTTCTGATGTATTTTCCTTGTCAGGTAGATAATACAGATGTTGTGATGTATTTTTCCTTGTCATGTAGATAATACAGATGTTGTGATGTATTTTTCCTTGTCAGGTAGATAATACAGATGTTCTGATGTATTTTCCTTGTCAGGTAGATAATACAGATGTTGTGATGTATTTTTCCTTGTCAGGTAGATAATACAGATGTTGTGATGTATTTTTCCTTGTCAGGTAGATAATACAGATGTTGTGATGTATTTTTCCTTGTTAGGTAGATAATACAGATGTTCTGATGTATTTTCCTTGGCAGATAGATGATACAGATGTTCTGATGTATTTTCCTTGTCAGGTAGATAATACAGATGTTCTGATGTATTTTCCTTGGCAGATAGATAATACAGATGTTCTGATGTATTTTCCTTGGCAGATAGATAATACAGATGTTCTGATGTATTTTCCTTGGCAGATAGATAATACAGATGTTCTGATGTATTTTTCCTTGTCAGGTAGATAATACGGATGCTGAAGGGAGACTTATTCTAGCCGATGCTTTGTGTTATGCTGAAACTTTTAACCCGGAGCTGATATTGGACATGGCAACCCTGACAGGTAAGGTTGCTATGGCATTCATAAACCCGTAAAGTGAATGTTGTATTTCAGTACCAAAAGTCTAATTTTCCTCCTTATTACTCACTTTCCTAGCAAACTTAACCTGAACCTGTATGTTGGGTACACTAATGGGAAAAAAACTGTTACTTAGGGAAAAGAGCACTCCTGATTTTTCTCTGTTTATTGAAGACCTGTCTGACATTTGAAGTATTATCATAGTGTGATCTTGTAAAACGGACATTTGCAACTTTACAGTGTTTACATGTATATTTTATAGGTGCAATAGATGTTGCATTAGGTGCTGGTGCGACAGGAGTATACACAAACTCTCTCAGTATGTGGGAGTATCTGCAAAAGGTAAGACAGAAGATTCTTTCATACCCATAATGGTGAAATATTTTACACCAAATAATATTATAAACTGTATGATTGTGTTTTTTTCTATTTTACAATAAATTCCAATCTGTAATAGTCACCGTTATTGGCTAGGATAGAAGTTATGTGGATCAAAAGGAAATTTATCAGGCCACTGTCTATATGTTACATGTCAACATTTTAAAGTGTTTGAAGGTGGATGGGAGAAAGAGGAGAGCATGTAGTTTTACCCATAGTCTGTCTATTTGTCTGTCGGTCTGTGTCTGTTGATCTCTCTGTCTGTCTGTCCGTCCATTGAAGCATCCATCCATCCATTTGTCTGTCCATCCTTCCTTCCTTCCTTCAGAACATTACAACACATTTGGTTCACACTACCCCATAATATCATATTGTTAAGGTTCTTGTTTTCTTAGAAATTGGCTCATTTATAGACACGTTATAGTTAAATTAAAAATGTTGATTTGAAAACTGTAATCCTTTAAATACACCACTGTGTTGCTTTTTAATAATACCAGTATTTAGAATGAAATAATTATTATGTTATGTTTACATTGTGTAGTGAGATAGCTGTGTTTATGTAAATATTTTTAGGCCGGAAGTTCGACAGGAGACAGAATGTGGAGAATGCCGTTGTTTAACCACTATACAAAACAAGTGACCAAATCAGATCTAGCTGACATTAACAACATTGGGTCGGGAGGTCGATCTGGAGGCTCTTGTACAGCGGCAGCCTTTCTAAGAGTAAGAACTATTACCTATTTGTCTTCCTGTTTCTTCTGGTTTATAACAACAGCATAATGCAGTGTTTCAGGTTTTCTTTTCATCAAGAGCTTGTCACTTCTCCCCAATGCTTTGGAATTGAAAAGTGTAGACTATTGACCAGGGAAGAAGTTTTGAAGTCACCTGTGTGGTTTTGTTTTTCATACTAATATAGATTGAGATTTGTATTTCTAAGTATATATGTTTTAATTAATTTGAATTAATCTTGGACAAAGTTTTAGAAAAAATGTTATGTTTGCCGTTATTATTGTGATTCCAAGTTTGATTTTAAAACATAATTTTAAAGTGTATCAACTAGCTAGGTTACATGATGACAATCCTTCATATCTATTTCAGGAATTTGTCACTAACAAACAGTGGATGCATTTAGACATTGCCGGTGTTATGATGAACAAGTCTGATGTACCATACCTTAGTAAAGGCATGGCAGGTTTGTAACATTGACTTATGAATCATTGTAGATATTAAACACAGACATCTAAAGGCAATATTATTTGATAAACTATTGTGTTACTGTATTTATCCTTTACTAAGCACAAACATACAAATTCTGACCCAAAAGTAATATGGTGCGATTATTATAGTATGATTGAAAAGTATTTAGTTTTACTGAATAGAAATATGGATAGATGTATTACCAGACATAATACCAGGTGTGTATGATAGAAGATACTACATGCATTCACCAAACCTATATCTTATTCTGATGTGGTAATACTCTAATGAGATTTCATTAAAAATGACATTATACAATTTTTGTAAGACATTAACATTTTGCATTGAATATTAGTATATTTTACCATTAATTAAAGAAAATGAATACAAAGAAATTAGATTTGTGTGAATCCTTTGACTGTGAGTTAGATAATATGTTTTTCTTTGTTGTAGGTCGTCCTACGAGGACTGTTGTTGAATTTCTACAGTTGCTGAGTCAGAGATAAGAAGTGACAAATCATCACCAAGATCTCATCTTGTTATCATACACTGGTGTATGTTCTGTAAACTTCTATATCATTATCAATGTTACACTGTCTTAAGATACATGGTTTTTGTCAAAAGACTAAGCTGAGTCGTACACTGTCATAAGATACATGGTTTTTGTCAAAAGACTGAGCAGCTGATTCATGAAAGATTAAAGGTGTTTCTATGTCATATTTAGTGTTCTATAATGGGATGATTTATCCTAACTCTCAGTATCTGTGTGATCTGTTGCATGTCATATTTAGTGTTTTATAACGGGATGATTTATCTCTCTTGGTATCTGTGTGATATTTTAACAGCAGATGTTTGATAAGGAGACACCATTTTGATTTTTCCTTCTGTCAGATGATCATGGTAACAGATTTCATTACCTACATGTAGTAATAGTACAAATGTAATATTTGCTTATATGAAAATACCATGATAGTCCAAGTTAGAAATAAAACAAAAAAAATGTATTTTATATAATCGAAAGACTTAAATTAAGAGTCTTACATAAAACTTATTACTTTTAGTACCTGTATATACAAGTTATACTGGAAGTTCCTGTTTAGCACCTCTACTTCCATGGGGTCATTGATACAGCTACAACATTTAACAAGCTGTACTACAGGAGTTATACTAGAAGTTCCTGTTTAGCACCTCTACTTCCATGGGGTCATTGATACAGCTACAACATTTAACAAGCTGTACTACAGGAGTTATACTGGAAGTTCCTGTTTACAACACTACAGGAGTTATACTCTTCCATGGGGTCATTGATACAGCTACAACATTTAACAAGCTGTACTACAGGAGTTATACTGGAAGTTGTTCCTATCTAACACCTCTGTTTCCATGGGGTCATTGATACAGCTACAACATTTAACAAGCTGTACTACAGGAGTTATACTGGAAGTTCCTGTTTAGCACCTCTACTTCCATGGGGTCATTGATACAGCTACAACATTTAACAAGCTGTACTACAGGAGTTATACTGGAAGTTCCTGTTTAGCACCTCTACTTCCATGGGGTCATTGATACAGCTACAACATTTAACAAGCTGTACTACAGGAGTTATACTAGAAGTTCCTGTTTAGCACCTCTACTTCCATGGGGTCATTGATACAGCTACAACATTTAACAACCTGTACTACAGGAGTTCATTGTCAGAATTAATTTAATATTTGTAAAGATATAATTATTCTAGTCTATGGAAGCTCATCTGTATTTGATATATACTTTATCTACCTGTATATATATGTATGTTTGTTATAGTTTTTCTGTTCATGAAATGAAATTCTTAATGAGAACAAGCTGCACTGAAATGTTTCAATGACAGGGTGTTACAGTGGACTACTGCCTTGACAACAACACTAAAACTAACATAAAGAATGATTTGCATTTTAAATTTAAAATAAAATGTGTCATATACTGAATTATTTTGCTGTGTTTATGCTTAATAAAGAGAGTGTGACATTAAGTACCCATTAAACAGTTTTCTGGTTTTTTTTCTATGTACATGGATACCAATTGATTGACATGTGTGAAATGAAATTCCTGTGAGCTAGTCCAAATCATGACAATTTGAAATATGAGCCTGGTAAAATTGTACAACCATTAGTACTTTCTTCCTATGAAAGGCAATCATATATAATATAACTAGTTATTGCCTTGAAGGTAACACCTTTTTTATTAGGTAATCTGACTGAAGGGTCTGATGACCTATTGCGGTCGCCTTTTGTTTGGCATCGTCCGTCATAAACATTTCCAACTTCTTCTCAAGTTCTACCTGTCTCGTTATGCTGACACTTACCTGAAATGATCGTGACATGATCCTGACCAAAGTTTGTTAATTTTGGGTTGGTCCCAAATCCAACATGGCTGCCATCTTGAAAACACATTTTTGACTTCTTCTCAAGTTCAAAATTTGAAATCTTGTATTTTATGTCAGATGACCATTAAGGCCCATGGGCCTCTTGTTTATATTTAAACCTATTTAATCTGGATTTCACTTTATTGAAATTTGGTTCTCTGGACTGAAATTTTAACAGATTGTTTGAATAACAAGTTTGCTCTCCATGCAAAGATTATTGTAAGAAGTCAAAACATTGTCTTCTTATTTTGAAATAGATATGATTAAAGGTAAACATGACCCATGCGAAAAATGTGTTGATCAGTATAACGATTATTGTAGATATTTTAATGGTACAGGGAAATATTGTCTACATTTTGAATCAAGGACAAGATTATGCATACCGTACCTTCATATCTCTACTGAAAGTTGACAATTGTCAATTTATTCAAGATAGTGAAAAACAAAACGAAACCCCGACCATCAAAAAGCCAAATGTCTACAGACAAACTATTTATCAAGTGTTTAGCCCCATGACAGTAGTATCGCGGCCATATTTGGCAGTTTGTTCCATTTATGTGTGCCGTCGGTCAGTAACCTTTAATTGGCTATTACTTACCTTTTTTTTTTTTTTATAAAATCCAAGTAATATTTTTTTGTGTATAATGTATAGAAACAATCAGTTATTTCAGATTTCTTGTTTAGTTTGAAAACCAGACAAGTCATTAGGTGTGACTGTCAGGATATGTTGTTGACTCGAAATTTTTTTTATATCAGGTATGATGGTATATACAAATAGTTTGCTGTAATGGTTTTTTTAGGTCACCCGAGCCGAAGGCGTCGTTAACTTTTCACATATTTGACTTCTTCTCAAGAACTACTGAATGGATTTTGACCAAACTTGGCACAAAGCATCCCCATGGGAAGCGGCTTCAAGTTTGCGAAGAAAAAGGGCGTGGCCCCAATAGGGGGGAAAAGGGGGTAAAATTAGGTAAATCTTTTAAAATCTTCTTCTCATGAACTAACAGTCAGATTAAGTTCATATTTGATATTTAGGGTCCTTATGGCAAGGTCTACAAAGTTTGCGAATGAAAAAAAAATCGGGTCAAAAACGGCCCCACTAGGGGGCACTCAAAAGGGTCAAAAATTCAACTTTGACAGATTTCAACCAAATTTGGTAGAAAGCATCACTTAGTGAAGGAGATATGAAATTATGTTGAAAAAGTGAAAGTAACCTTGTTAGCTGGAAAGATTTGGTTAGCTCTGAATGAAACAAAAACAAATCTGTGTGACTGACATATCTGTGATTACTTCAAACTGATCCATGCGTGCTGTGCATTCTGGTGACACAAAAACAACTACAAATTGTATATTTTTTTTGAGAATTTTATTTTTTTGTGTCTCCTTCACATTGTTTATCTATGATGAGATTGAACAAGTCATGCTTCCCTAATTAAGCAAAAACACAACTGTCATATGTCCAAGAATATTGCTTCAATAAATGAAACGTAATAAATAAATTGTATTTACGAGAAATGTATTATTGCAACATCACTGCAACATTTTGCTGTTGTGATAGATAAACGATACACATTATTCCGCATATAAAAAAAACACTTGAGCATGACTTTGTCTTCACAAAATATCATTTGGTAAAAACAACTATACACATGGAGAAATGTAGTGGGACTAGCAAAACTGGAATTATGTTTTTTTTCCTTTCTAAAATCTCAACACTAAGTATGAAGCTATGTTGAAAATTCACTTACAGAATATGTATTTAACACTTCATACAGACAATATTTTAAGCTTCAGTTAATCACTACTTTTTTTAAATAAAAAATAAATAGACAAATGAATATTCTAATGGAGAGTTTCTGTCCAGGTATAATTTAGATACTAGTAACTAAATGTATAAACAAATATCTTTTATAAATAAATTGAATTAATTGTAGTTACTAACAGTTTGTGAGAGCATGAAAATACTGTCTGGAGTACAACAGAATACATGATGAAAGCTGGCAGATACTTTGTCTCTATATCCAAATATCACAATATTTTAGAATACATGATGAAAGCTGACAGATACTTTGTCTCTATATCCAAATATCACAATATTTTAGAATACATGATGAAAGCTGGCAGATATTTGTTCTCTATATCTCACTATATTTTAGAATACATGATGAAAGCTGGCAGATACTTTGTCTCTATATCTCACTATATTTTAGAATACATGATGAAAGCTGGCAGATACTTTGTCTCTATATCTCACTATATTTTAGAATACATGATGAAAGCTGGCAGATACTTTGTCTCTATATCCAAATCTCACAATATTTTAGAATACATGATGAAAGCTGGCAGATACTTTGTCTCTATATCCAAATCTCACAATATTTTAGAATACATGATGAAAGCTGGCAGATACTTTGTCTCTATATCCAAATCTCACAATATTTTAGAATACATGATGAAAGCTGGCAGATACTTTGTCTCTATATCCAAATCTCACAATATTTTAGAATACATGATGAAAGCTGACAGATACTTTGTCTCTATATCCAAATCTCACTATATTTTAGAATACATGATGAAAGCTGGCAGATACTTTGTCTCTATATCCAAATATCACTATATTTTAGAATACATGATGAAAGCTGGCAGATACTTTGTCTCTATATCTCACTATATTTTAGAATACATGATGAAAGCTGGCAGATACTTTGTCTCTATATCCAAATCTCACTATATTTTAGAATACATGATGAAAGCTGGCAGATACTTTGTCTCTATATCCAAATCTCACAATATTTTAGAATACATGATGAAAGCTGGCAGATACTTTGTCTCTATATCCAAATCTCACAATATTTTAGAATACATGATGAAAGCTGACAGATACTTTGTCTCTATATCTCACTATATTTTAGAATACATGATGAAAGCTGGCAGATACTTTGTCTCTATATCCAAATCTCACAATATTTTAGAATACATGATGAAAGCTGACAGATACTTTGTCTCTATATCTCACTATATTTTAGAATACATGATGAAAGCTGGCAGATACTTTGTCTCTATATCCAAATCTCACAATATTTTAGAATACATGATGAAAGCTGACAGATACTTTGTCTCTATATCTCACTATATTTTAGAATACATGATGAAAGCTGGCAGATACTTTGTCTCTATATCCAAATCTCACAATATTTTAGAATACATGATGAAAGCTGACAGATACTTTGTCTCTATATCTCACTATATTTTAGAATACATGATGAAAGCTGACAGATACTTTGTCTCTATATCCAAATCTCACAATATTTTAGAATACATGATGAAAGCTGGCAGATACTTTGTCTCTATATCCAAATCTCACAATATTTTAGAATACATGATGAAAGCTGGCAGATACTTTGTCTCTATATCCAAATCTCACAATATTTTAGAATACATGATGAAAGCTGGCAGATACTTTGTCTCTATATCCAAATCTCACAATATTTTAGAATACATGATGAAAGCTGGCAGATACTTTGTCTCTATATCTTACTATATTTTAGAATACATGATGAAAGCTGGCAGATACTAGGTCTCTATATCTTACTATATTTCAGAATACATCATTCATTGTCTGTAAATTTCTTCATAATTTTCAAATAATTCTATTTAAGATCAAAATAATGGAATAAACTACATATATGAATCAATCATATTTAAATGCAGGTACCTTAAATGCTACAACAGTTGGTCTTTATATAGGACAGTATGAAGAGGTTCTTTTATCTAGAGGTTTTACTGTAAAATTATTGAAGGTGACCTGCAAACATCATTAGTACAGAATTGGTTTTTCCGTTCTAACTGAGGAAATATGTTTGTCTCGGATCAGTTGTTCCCAGAGATCACATCCTTTATCAAACAGAGACACACTCCTTTTCCAACAGCTTGGGTTGTTTTGCTTTGACATATTTTTTCTCTGAATCAAAAGAAAGTTAATCAGAAAATCTTCCATCAATAATTTAGAATAATATGTAAAGGAGTCAATATCTACATCCATATTTAGACAGAAACGATTCCTAATGTAAAGGAGTCAATATCTACATCCATATTGAGACAGAAACGATTCCTAATGTAAAGGAGTCAATATCTACATCCATATTGAGACAGAAACGATTCCTAATTCCGATTCCCATTTGAAAACCGATTAAGAATCCAGTGATATCTCCTGACTGTACCGATTAAGAATCCAGTGATATCTCCTGACTGTACTGAGTAAGAATCCAGTGATATCTCCTGACTGTACCGATTAAGAATCCAGTGATATCTCCTGACTGTACCGATTAAGAATCCAGTGATATCTCCTGACTGTACTGAGTAAGAATCCAGTGATATCTCCTGACTGTATCGAGTAAGAATCCAGTGATATCTCCTGACTGTACCGATTAAGAATCCAGTGATATCTCCTGACTGTACTGAGTAAGAATCCAGTGATATCTCCTGACTGTATCGAGTAAGAATCCAGTGATATCTCCTGACTGTACTGAGTAAGAATCCAGTGATATCTCCTGACTGTACCGATTAAGAATCCAGTGATATCTCCTGACTGTACTGAGTAAGAATCCAGTGATATCTCCTGACTGTATCGAGTAAGAATCAAGTGATATCTCCTGGCTGTACTGAGTAAGAATCAAGTGATATCTCCTGACTGTACTGAGTAAGAATCCAGTGATATCTCCTGACTGTACTGATTAAGAATCCAGTGATATCTCCTGACTGTACCGATTAAGAATCCAGTGATATCTCCTGACTGTACCGATTAAGAATCCAGTGATATCTCCTGACTGTACCGATTAAGAATCCAGTGATATCTCCTGACTGTACTGAGTAAGAATCCAGTGATATCTCCTGACTGTACTGAGTAAGAATCCAGTGATATCTCCTGACTGTATCGAGTAAGAATCAAGTGATATCTCCTGGCTGTACTGAGTAAGAATCAAGTGATATCTCCTGGCTGTACTGAGTAAGAATCAAGTGATATCTCCTAACTGTACTGAGTAAGAATCCAGTGATATCTCCTGACTGTACCGATTAAGAATCCAGTGATATGATATCTCCTGTACTGATATCTCCTGACTGTAAGAATCCAGTGATATCTCCTGACTGTACCGATTAAGAATCCAGTGATATCTCCTAACTGTACTGAGTAAGAATCCAGTGATATCTCCTGGCTGTACTGAGTAAGAATCAAGTGATATCTCCTAACTGTACTGAGTAAGAATCCAGTGATATCTCCTAACTGTACTGAGTAAGAATCCAGTGATATCTCCTGACTGTACCGATTAAGAATCCAGTGATATCTCCTGACTGTACTGAGTAAGAATCCAGTGATATCTCCTGACTGTACCGATTAAGAATCCAGTGATATCTCCTGACTGTACTGAGTAAGAATCCAGTGATATCTCCTAACTGTGTACTGAGTAAGAATCAAGTGATATCTCCTAACTGTACTGAGTAAGAATCCAGTGATATCTCCTGACTGTACCGATTAAGAATCCAGTGATATCTCCTGTCTGTACTGAGTAAGAATCCAGTGATATCTCCTGACTGTATCGAGTAAGAATCCAGTGATATCTCCTGACTGTATCGAGTAAGAATCCAGTGATATCTCCTGACTGTATTGAGTAAGAATCAAGTGATATCTCCTGGCTGTACTGAGTAAGAATCAAGTGATATCTCCTGACTGTACTGAGTAAGAATCCAGTGATATCTCCTAACTGTACTGAGTAAGAATCCAGTGATATCTCCTGACTGTACTGAGTAAGAATCAAGTGATATCTCCTGGCTGTACTGAGTAAGAATCCAGTGATATCTCCTAACTGTACTGAGTAAGAATCCAGTGACATCTCCTAACTGTACTGAGTAAGAATCCAGTGATATCTCCTAACTGTACTGAGTAAGAATCCAGTGATATCTCCTAACTGTACTGAGTAAGAATCCAGTGATATCTCCTAACTGTACTGAGTAAGAATCCAGTGATATCTCCTGACTGTACTGAGTAAGAATCAAGTGATATCTCCTGACTGTACTGAGTAAGAATCCAGTGATATCTCCTAACTGTACTGAGTAAGAATCCAGTGATATCTTCTGACTGTACTGAGTAAGAATCCAGTGATATCTTCTGACTGTACCAAGTAAGAATCCAGTGATATCTCCCGACTGTACTGAGACAGAATCCACCCATTATATCCTATCTAACTGCTTGTGCCATGTGTAGAGGATTTAACATGAGTTCAAAAGCAGCTCCCTTGAGGTTAGCTCCCCTTAAATTAGCTTCCTGTAAGTCACAGCCGGAAAGGTCACAGTTCTACAAGACATACAACATAAATTAGTAACTCCTAATTCTACAAGACAGCAAAAACAGATGTTTAAAATGTCTTTATGTCATATGGCTGCAACACAATAAACTACACCAGGATATTTTTAAGATCAAAACATTAACATGCACAACTGATATATAAAAGGAATTCTGCAGTCCCTACTAACACTTATTGACAATGATTCTCCACATCTACATGACAGAAACGAAAATATCTTTTTACAATTAGTAGTTCAGATTAAATAGTTACCCTTTGTGTAATATGAGTAAATAAAATATTATCAGCTAAGATTAATTAGTTGATATTAATTGTGTAATTTAAGTAAATAAGATATTATCCTTACTTCAAGGTCAGCTCCTGCAAGCACAGCCCCACGAAGATCACAGTTCTGAAGGTTAGCATTTTTTAAAGTTGCTACTCGTAAGTTTACTCCAGCCAGCTGACTACCTTCTAAATTTACATTCTTCATCAATGCTCCTAGTAAAACAAAAAAAAAAAACACAGATATGTATCCATACAAATACTGAGTGTAACAGAGGTCATTATTTATTTCAATGCCTCTGCTAGGAATCGAACCCGGGACCCCTGGCTTAATAGTCTGACACTCAACCAATCAAGTTAAAGAGAAGATCTCTCTAGCCGAGAGGTATTTTGCAGCTAGTATTTTACCAGGGTTACATACTCCCCCTCCAGGAGATAACTTGTCCTCAAGTTTTCAGGAGTCACAGCAACGCTGGTGGGGCATGGCTAAGTACTATTCCCGGGTCCCTACATAGGCGCCAATGTAACAGAGGTCATTATCTATTCCAATGCCTGCGCTAGGAATCGAACCCAGGACCCCTGGCTTACTAGTCTGATGCTCAACCAATCGAGCTAAAGAGAAGTTCTCCCTAGCCAAGTGGTATATTGTGACTAGTACAGAATTATCTTATTAACTTTCTCATCTCAACAAGACATAAAATTGGCTGCCTATTAAACTGCTACTGTAATTTATCATGCTTATACATCAATAGTTTAGTATACAAATTAAGTATCATCCTTACTAGTGACACATGTGGTGATTAACTCTCCCTATTTATGCAATGAATATTGAGTAGAATAAAATGAAACCTATCAATTTCTTCACAGTTGAACACTTAAGTGTTTAAAAAGATAATTTTATTATAATCAACATATTTTTCAATGTCCCAAACAGCACTGTCCTTGCCAATCATTTTGTCTTGCTAGTTGCTATCACATTTATAAACACTTCGTTCTAATTTTACATGAAATTTAAAATGATAGTTTGTTTCATGTGGTGATGAGTGGAGATGAAGAAGTCCCAACACTGTTCGGGTGTTGAAGGTTTATTGAGATGTAGGCTATGGAGAGATGGAACACTCACGTGCCTTCAGGAACCGATACATACTGGCTAGAAAGGTGGTCATATTTATACTAGCCATGTTAATTAACTGATGAAGTACTAATACACATTAGCTAACAGGTAAACAAGGATTGAAATATACACGAGTTATTGACATGGTCTTGCACAAATAAAATCACATAAGATTCGGCTGTTTACAACAGTAAGGTTACACTGAACTTCCTACAAACTGCTTAGATAGACTTCAGGTAATGACTTATATAATCAGGGAACGAACTAATACATCAACATGTGTAGTAGATCAGCAACGACAGAATACCTCTGGCCACTGGTCAATACATAACTGTTCACAGTAGATGTCAGTAATAAAGTAACACAGGCAGGTACATTATGATGAAACATATCTGACTGAAGTCTAGCACAATTTTGAACTAGAACTGTCGCCTAGATGGCTGACCAATACCCCCTGCACACTGCAATGAGTCAATGGATAAGTTAAAGTGTTATTCTGAGAGTAATTGACATATTCTGCATGTGCCTGCATTTCTGGAAGTCAGAAGGGGTGGAATACATGTTGTTCATGATCAAGAGAGTCTTGCAATACTTACATCTTTATTGAAGTAATATTTTCCACTGAAGGGCCACAGAGACAAAAAAATGGTCACTATAATAAGTGGGTACTACATCAATCTCAAACTCATCTGGCAATCGGTTGATAATCAGAGGCCAGGATTGTGTTTCCGCGGTAACAGTTTGGGAAACGTCTAATATGTCCAATTATTGGCCTTACTGAATTACATCTTTTTACTAAGTTTGAATACAATCGGTCAAATAACTGAGGAGTTATGGACATTTATTAGAAAACTTGTTTATAGTGACAAGTTACCATGGCAACCAAAATTTTCAAAAAAAGAAAGGGGCATGCATATCTACACATGATCCTTAATATTCCTGTAAAGTTTCATCAAAATCAGTTCACAGGTTTAGGAGGAGTTAGCCGGACAAAATGTGTCTACTGACAGACGGACGGACGCCTAGACGCCTGGACAGACGGACAACCTGATTCCAGTATACCCCCCCAACTTCGTAGCGGGGGGTATAATAATTTAATCTTACATATTAACTTTTAATAGTTCAAATAGACTCGAATTGTATGCATTAATATATGCAGTAACTATTTATTATTTCAAAAATAAATTGTCCAATCCTTTTTGTGTCCGTTTTGAGTACCAGATACTCCCGACAATCAATGATGGTGTCCTCAAAGAAAAAAACCTTGAAAATCCTATAGCTATGTAATGTGAGCACCCCCAAATTTGGGCATTTATATTCTCAAAAAAAAACTGTGCACATTACGCAGGTGTTTACGGTAAATCAATATTATTATTATAATCATCCTTTTTATTTTGATTTTGTAGTTAGTAAATGTATAACAATAGGATTTGTCCTGTTCTCATATATCAGTTTTGAAAGATGACTGAGTAGTGCCAACACCATTTGCTTGTATTCACTTAGATCCAAGAATCTTTACCCTTTACAGAAACCTATTGGGGGGAAAAACCTTTTGAAACTTTAACCAAGAAACAGCTGGACCTTGTGAAGTTCATGATTGTTCCTGGACACTAATTGTAATTGGTTGAGGACAGACTGAGAAGCCTCAACCAATCCTGGACCAAGCAATTTCAAGCCTTGACCAATCCTGAACCAAGCAATTTCCAGCCTTGACCAATCCTGGACCAAGCAATTTCAAGCCTCGACTAATCCTGGACCAAGCAATTTCAAGCCTCGACCAATCCTGGACCAAGCAATTTCAAGCCTTGACCAATCCTGGACCAAGCAATTTCAAAATTTAAAGAAGAGAGTTCAGTGGAGGGCAGATTGAGAAGCCTTGACCAATCCTGGACCAAGCAATTTCAAAATTTAAAGAAGAGAGTTCAGTGGAGGGCAGATTGAGAAGCCTTGACCAATCCTGGACCAAGCTATTTCAAAATTGAAAGAAGAGAGTTCAGTGGAGGACAGACTGAGAAGCCTCGACCAATCCTGGACCAAGCAATTTCAAAATTTAAAGAAGACCTGGAACTTCATGACAACTCAGAGTCATTGGTTTCGACACCTAATACCTCATAGCATGAAGAAAGGGAGGTAATAAGAGACCAAAACATTACAACTACAATACAAGTCTGAGTCAATGGAGACAATTTATTGAAAGGAGTTAGCATCAGTAAGAGAAATACAGACAATACTGTATTATTATATGTATCAGTTGGTATGTAGATAGGTATCTCAGAAACATGAACAAGTAACATCGCATTCACTTTCATTTTAATTTTTATGTCATGTATTTGAGTCTGACGAAGAGGATCTTATAAAATCTTGTATCAGTTTATAAATTTAACTGATTACCGCTAGCCATCAAAGATAACATGGAAGATAAGATATAATTCAGGGTGAGACAGATTGTATAAAAATGCTATGAACTGCTTCCTACTTAGTGCTCTATAGATTTATCAGGCGTAAGGTGTTTTACATTTATATAGAAAATAATGAATTGTATTAAAACATTCAAAATTTATCTTATTCTTTGTTGTTTACATCTTCAATCTATCATATATGACCGACAACTCTAAATATACTTATGTGAAGGGAGGTAACCAAATATGTTGGACAGAGAACTGGAAAATGATAACCCTTAGAATGGCATGTCCTGCATATAATACACACCCCCTTGTTGACAAGACAAAAATGTGTGCACTATACACACATATTAACGGTACATGTATACGAGATCTTGTATGAATGCCCAGACCAGGATTTCATATTGTTTTTCATAGAATGCTACACCTCAATATTTTGTACTTCATTTGATAAAAAACTTTGATCTTTCATCCTACAGAAATATGCTAAAAGGCAAAACAAGTCTACAAATTGCTAAATTTAACAACCTACTCTGATGCTGTTTTGTTTGACAACTCTTTCCTAATCTATTAATTTTAAAACAAATATAGAAAAACTAAAAAAATTCAAAGAAAAATCTCATTGACTTAATTATTTATCCTCCCTACTGTTATAAAGGATGATTTAAACTTCACCTTTCAGCGTAGGTGTAAATACCTTTTTTCATATTGAGACATTTTTCTATTTTCATTTAAATCAATAATACAATATCATATACCTTCTAGATTGGCTCGGCTACCAGCAGGATCTTCAAAGTTACATCCCCTGAGAGAAGCTCCCTCCAGGTTAGCACATAACATCTTCACACCCAACAGATTTGCTGACTGAAAGTAATATTGCACAAAGGAAATAACCAATGTAAAATCAATGATAGGACCAGTCATTTTGTAAAAAAAAAAACAAACATGAGATCAAATACAATTATTATTATTACATTCTAAATGGCCCGTCAACACATAAAAGGTCATTAGGGCCATCATACTGTAAAACACACAGTGATCCAAAAGGAAATAACATTAAACAAACCAAAAGGTCACATACAAACACCTGATAATCACTGAAAACATTTTGTTTTTCCTATCAGGATGAATCAATTTTTTTATTGATTCGTAATACATTGTCATTTAAAAGAATCACCATCCTTTGTCCAAGGACGTTTTTGTTGTACAAAGAGTTTTGGATTCTTGTGAAATATCCAGGATTGATGTTTGATTACTACCTCTGGTATGAGCCTGTGAAAATACTGACAATTAGAGACATGACATGTCTGTTTTCTTACAGTCATTAATTAGTTTGAGAAGAGAGTTGATATTTCTACATCAATATAAACCATTCCAACTCAAGTAAATTACTTTCAAACTTAATGTTTTTTAGCCGTCCAGACATGTTGATCTTACTACTGTACTAGTGGAGCTTGTAGCTTGTACCAATTTCCATTATACAAACATAAACTTTTGATACTTAATCACCAAGCAATATTAAGCCTGTGAAAAAAATATCCATCGATGCATTTCTGCGTTCAGACGCGACGGAACGGGACAGACGGACATGGGCAACGCTATATGCCCCCGGCCATAAATGGCGGGGGCATAATGTTATATGCCCTTCGAGTTCTGAACCACTGTCAAGCTATACATACCATCAAAACTGTCAATTTTTACTAATAATTCTTACACAGTTATTTCCAAAGTAAACAACTTTATGTTCAAAAATGCAATTTTCCTATACCTACCATATCTTGGCGTTAAGAAGATTTTTACAATTTAAGCCAATTTGACTGTTTTTGGCCCCAACCCTCTAGATCCTGGCTTGGTGGAGACCATATAACTCATTATTGCAATTCATCTTTGGCCAGAGAATGTTAAGCACTGCAAAATTTCACTGAAACCACTTTGGACATTTTTTTGTACAATTTTAAATCTGTGTTAGCCCTGGTAATTAATAATGTTTTCACATAGGATTGTGGAAATAAAGTTCTGTTTAGGTGAAAAATGAATGTCCTGTCCAAATCACCCCTAAGCAAGAAGGTGATTTGGCCATTTCCACAGAGCTAAATTTAAATCTACTCACATCCAGCACTGTCTTGTTCAAGTCTGCCCTCTCAAAGTTACAGTAGGATAGGTTCGCACCAGCAAGGTTGGCATCTTTTAGGATAGCATATTTAAAATTAATGTATCGCAGATCTAACTTGGAGAGGTTGGCACCGGTGAAATTCATACCCTGTAATATACAGACAAGACGAATTAGACATGTTTTACTGTAGAATGGACTCTCTTTGTAATAACCACTTATTGCTTCATAGTCAAGTCCTAAACAGAAATATTACATAAGCAGAGACATTATGTAAACAAGAGGCCTACAGGGCCTGTATTGTTCACCTTGTTTAGTTCGCTGAAATAAAAAGCATTTAGAAGATTTGTATCTATTTCCCCTATAAGGCCCCATCCCTTTGCCCTATGGAGAAATGATGCACTGTTTACAGAACACAAACATGTCTCAGACCAAGCTAAGACAAATTCCAGGCATTCCTACAAAAGATGGATTATAAATAATTCACTCTAATACTCCTGCTGGACACTGTTCCTCCTATCCTAGGGTGCCCAGACCATTGTTTATACAAAACTGATTTCTTTTTATCTGAGGATGCTTCAGGCAAAATTTGGATAGAATCCAGCCATTCCTACAGAAAAAGGATTTTTAAAGAATTTGCTCTGTTTTCTCTATTTGGTCTCACCCTTCCCTTCCCAGGAGGTCAGGACCAAACATTTCTACAAACTTTATTCCCTTTCACCAATGAATGCTGCAGACCAAATTTTAACCAAATCTAATTATTTCTGAAAGAGGAGTAGAATTTTGAGGACTTTGCTCTATATCTCCCATGGGCTCCATTCCTCAGCCCCAACCCATCGTTTATATAAAACTGTTTCTCCTTCATCCAAGAATATTTCTGACCAAATTTTGTCAAAATCTGCTCTATCATCCATGACTAGTAGCAAGGAACATAACATTTACCAGAATATAATTTTACCAAGAATGCTACATTACATAGAAAATCTATTGAACTTAATTTTTTTATATAAACTGTAAAAGCAAACATAATACATACCTGTATCCAAAATTATAGTAAATGCTAAATACCTAATGCTTTAAAGCAATCAAAGTGAAATATCATTCACTGGATAAACCACTCTGTTTTCTATATACACTATTAATTTGGTCTATTTCTGTTATTGTAGGACGAATGATTATGTCATTCTTTCTATTCACTGTTCATGGCTTCACCAATCTATGTTGTTTTAACCCATATTGATGACGTACTAATCTCTAATTGATGTTCTGATAACGGATCATTTGAACCTGAAACATGTCAACAACTTGATGCACGAATGAATCGTGAAATGGGAAGGAGCTGTTTGTGTTGTCTTCACTCTCAACCTACATTATAATGTTTTAATTGACATACATATGTCTATGACCTTGCACGTCATGACATACCTGGTATATTACAAATCCAGAAGTAACACTACTGCATAGTACAACTACGTTTATCCTTGATCATAAAAGCATCATAAAAGGCTCAGTGTGAAATTTCCATATATTTCAGAAGTGATTTTGTTTGTACTGTACCTGACATCGGAGTTCCTTGTTGGTGGGAGTGGATAGGAGACGAAGCACCAACTCTCTCCGTGTGATCGGTGTTCGGTCATCTGGCACCTGATTTTTCTGAAGATTAACGAAAACATTACAGGGTTATATTGAATACACTGAATATCTTGTATTCAGATTGTAACGATACATGTAACATATCTGTTGATTTCTCCTTGCACAGATGTTTCTGTCAGATAATTTATATGTTTGAAGAAAAACCATCTCATTGAAAACTGATGTAAAAATGCATAAAACACATTTTCATAGATAACTGTCTTGTCCTGTGTGTTTTTCGCTGTAGAGATAACCCCTTCTAATTAACACTAGCTCCTAAGGATATAATTTGTCAAATAAAATTCAATTTACGCTGTAGTTTGTTATATGTAATATGTATACAGTTTGTATCAACCATTGATACATACTAAAGAAATAATAAATATATGTAGGAGTAAATAATTTTGTATTCATAAAGCAGGGAATATCTCACCTCAATGATTTCTTCAAGAGTATCCATCAGCGATGTTAAACCAAAGAAACGTGCCTCCTCCAGAACTCCTGTGACAGAAAAATGTGACTTTACCTCAATATCTATGTAGCTAGAAATGTTTCCAGAAATGAACGTTCTCACTCTTATGTAAACCAGAATAAGATCAGACATAGAACTTGATAATGTGCTACTATGAGGTAACTTTGAGGTAACTATGAACCAAATCTATCGAGATGTTCTCAAGATATGACACTCAATGGCAATGGCACGGACTGGTCTGGATAAGATATCCGCCCTTGCCTCTTACTTTAAAATGGCATGGGCACAGAAACCAGGGTAGGTGAGCAATGGTGATTTTAGACAAATATCAACAATTCTATAATCAGGCAGTATTCCAGGCAAATACTAATGGACATTGTTGTCAGATAACATTGAACGTCTACATGTAACACAATTTACTGCCACATCAACTTAGCTGATGTCATAAAACCCAAATTTTGGATATAAATGCCCTTAAGTATCAAATTCTAAGGACTTACGTGCCCTTGAATATCAAATTCTAAGAACTTATGTCCCCTTAAGTATCAAATTCTAAGGACTTATGTCACTTAAATATCAAATTCTAAGGAATTATGTGCCCATAAGTATAAAATTCTAAGGACTTATGTGCCCTTGAATATCAAATTCTAAGGACTTATGTGCTACACTATCAACCTAACTACCTTGTGGGTTGATGTCTTTATCAAGGACTAGCTGTCCGTGTCGGAGGTAGTTAAGTATAGGTTCAAAATATCGTGGACTGCGGTCAATCAGGTAGGCCCCACTCTCATCAACACTGCTGTGCCAGGTGACAGCTGTAAATAATAGTTAAATACTATTACTGATACACAAATACATACAAAACCAAGTCAAATTACGAATGTACATTTCCTTATAATCAATATTATCTTATCTTATCAGAAAACACTGTTACCCCTAATCTGGCTTTGATGAAAAATTACATAAGGTCTATCCTTTGTTGCTAGAATTGAAATATGGTGCTGGTATCAAATACAATCTGGTGTGCAAACTGTGTTTAATGAAAAGAGACAAAGAACCATGACATACTTTTTTCATCACCAAACATGCGTGCTAACATACTCGCAGAGTCTTGCTGTGTCAAAGTACTTCTGCAATGAAAGAAACAAGGTTTTAAAGGGAGACAACTCATACATGATTTATGTTATGTGTAACATAAAGGTAACATGCATCCTTTACTTCAATTATATGGGGAGATATTCATTAATTTTCAAGTTTGATGGCAGACCCCAAGGGACATAACCCTTTGTAATTCACTACATAATTACACTACTGACCCGATGTAACATTCCAGTACACCCAAATAAGTTTAACGCCATAACCTTACCGAGTTGTGGTGAAGATTTTTCCACCAACATTTAGTGTCACCCATTCTGAAGAATGGCAGGCAGAGGTTGTACCAGACATTTTCCTTTCATGGCCTTTGATAAATTTTTTGGTAACATCTACATGAGGCTCAGATCCTGATACTGAACCTGGTTCTAACAAATGTAAGAAAAACATTCATCAGGAAATAATTTTAATTTTAAAAATTAATACCTGACATAATTCTTCTATGTATATACTTGGAATGATCAAAAAAAAGATTATCAAAATGTTTTGCTTACAAAACTGAAATGTGACTGAACTTTCACAGAAGCAAATTCCCAATCTGATCTAGTATGGAAATTGTTATAATGGTAAATTATTACAGTTAAACATATGCTAAGTATAGGGCTATTAAAGCAACATTATTTATGTAAGTTTAATAAATCCCAAAGTTTTCTTTTGACAAAGAATTAATCAAAAAAGTCTTATTCCGATCACTCAGCCTTGATGAGATTCCAAGATATGAGCTCTTACTCTTGAACGGTTCTCCAGCAGATATATAATACACATCATCATCTCTGAAACAGAAATCATCAATAAATCAGCAAGGAAATCTCTATTCCTCCAATCAAAATCATCAATACATCAGCAAGGAAATCTCTATTCCTCCAATTAAAATCATCAATACATCAGCAAGGAAATCTCTATGCCTCCAATTAAAATCATCAATACATCAGCAAGGAAATCTCTATGCCTCCAATCAAAATCATCAATACATCAGCAAGGAAATCTCTATGCCTCCAATCAAAATCATCAATACATCAGCAAGGAAGTCTCTATACCTCAAATCAAAAGCAAAAGACATATTTACAAGGGACAGTATTCCCCCACATTTTGGAAATGCAATAGATCTCTAAGAAATCCTACAAAATTACAGTAGTATCATAATCTATTCCAAGAAATGTTCCAAACCTTGTCTTTTATCCTTTGAGTGAATTTACATTAAGTGAAAATTTACTTTATTACACAAAATGTTTGCAACATCCTGATGGTAATGCACTATCTCTGTAAACACCAACATTTTGTGACATTTGATAACAGATGATATGATTTTGTTTCTTTTTACCTGTTTGTACCTAATAACATTATATAAGGCAAAAAGGGCCCATATACACACTCAGTATTTTACCTGTTCTTACCTAATAACATTATATAAGGCACAAAGGGCCCATATACACACTCAGTATTTTACCTGTTTGTACCTAATAACATTATATAAGGCACAAAGGGCCCATATACACACTCAGTATTTTACCTGTTCTTACCTAATAACATTATATAAGGCACAAAGGGCTCAATATTTCTAAAAATCCAATTGAAACAAAATGTTTTCATCTAAACCACACAGAAATGCTTCTCTTTTTCAAGCTGAATTTGTCAAGGATGACATACTTACTCTTTAAATCTAATTACAAGGTCAAACTTTAAAAGATCAATTTACCTTATCAACAGAACATCATCTAAGGTTGCTCCCTGTGGGGTGTAGAGCACTTTGGCATCAGATCCAAGCTTTTTGTTGGCTTCAAATAGAATGTCCTGCAATGTTGCACTGTCAGTAACAGCAACGAGCTGAAAATACAAAAAACAATTACTTTATGTTCAGTCTATACTACATTTACTTGTATGGCATGTATAACGGTTTGCTGTCTATTATATGTAGGGTATGAAGACAATGAAAGGCAATACAATCAATTTGTAGTCTATTCAACAATAATGGAACCAGTCTCTGCCTCTAAGATGTTTTGTAGTGTCATCACACTGAAATGGACATGGTAGTATGTTATACTTATCTTATAATGTTTTATATTTTATTTGACTTGCACTTTCAACTGTTTGTCAGTGTCAGGGGAGAGAATTAATCCATCATCCAACACAATCGCCATTCTGGCACTTACAACACTCAACTCATTTGCTTAACGGGAAGATGTTGTTAAGAAACATCAAATTATTGTTTATTTTACAGCAAACTGATAAGTATAGAAGTTTTTCATTAACATATGTAATAAATCATTCTTGTTGCCTGGATGGTAGTAGTGTTAAATCTTCTTATGGGAGTAACCTGGAGACATCCATCATATCCTGAATACAGCACCCTCTGACTTCCCTATCCATTACCAGATGTACATATATAGATAAGATACTCTGTTCATTTTGCATCTCCATGGTGTACTCAATGCCAGATGTTTAGATATAATGTTGTCTACTACATACAAAACAATTTGTTCTACTTGTAAAGGCATAGTCTTAATTGTACATAAATATTTGTGTATTTGTGGTTTGTGCATCATCACACCTCCACATCTGCTATTTGTGACCCTTTTATCATCAGTAATCTTTTTGACAAACAATCGAAACAAAAAAATAACTGGAATGAATTAATGACTTCCGTTTTCTTAACCCATGGAAAGCTCCAAAATTCTTGTGGTACAGTTATAAGTATGATATCATAACATATATTCAATTCAAGGAGACTGGTTGAGCTTAACTTAAGGTGCGTGGATTCTAGCATGAAAGATACATGTACATTTTTCGTATAATCTATTCATGCATTAAATCTGCCAAATTTCCTTGATTATTTAACTTCAAAATTCTGCTTGCAGTCAAGATAATCCTTGGGACAGATTACACGCTATAGTACACTGTAATAGTATATATATAAAGTATACTCGTATGTACTAGCATACAGTATTATACGTCCCTGGTACTAGTACTGATTACAGTATAGCCAGTTACTGGTGGGCCGATTGTATTGTGCCAACAGCAACATTCGGATGTCTCAATACTTATGAATTATGATTTTTCACATCGTTCCACCAAAAGGAGAACGACAAGTATGAGTTTGAGTCTTGATGTAAACCTCAAACGTCTTTTGGGTCTAGTGCATGCTTCTATGTCTACTACAGTGATGCGCTGTTACACCCGTGCTACACGTTATGAAGCCTAATCAAAAATATGTTTACATTTTTTCTATGTAATAATCAACGCTCTAACTTCAATAAACAAACCTTTCCATCAGAAGCTGATCCGTTGCGGAAAACGGCAATTCTCTTCATAGTTGATTCAAATCATTCTGACTAATTTTTTTAGACCCGTATATAGAGTTCGATGCCTACATATTGTTCACTAGCAAATAATGAGATGAGACGGATGTGCAATCTACGCATGCGCATAATTTAAAAATGAAAGTAGCTCATATTTATTTAAGGAAAGAAGTAAGATATTCTATATTTAGATATTCATAAATAGATTTTATTAATAGGACAGTCACACCTTAGGCTATATAAAACCGAGAACGAGAATAAAACATGCTTCAGATTATAACTTATGAGCAGATGCAATGACTTGTACACATCAGTTATGACGGAAACCCATTACGCTAGGAAAAAAATACAAGTGTACGTCTTTTTCATACAATGAAACACTAACTAAGCAGACAAAAGATTGCCTTAAACACTCTTCGATGTAAAGAAGAGAACGCATAGTTAACAATAACTTTCTCTGGAAGTGTCGCAAATGAGGAGGAAGATGAAAATACATGCATAAATTACACTACGGGATCTAAAACACTTCAACTGGTGACCGCCTTTTATTCCGAAGGCCCAATAGTCTGAAGGCCCGTTAGTCCGATTTGTCTTAAAATATTTACATGATATTACATAATTTCTATCCAAATACTTGCACTGAATTGTTTCTTTTCTGCTCATTATTCGCGCCACTCATGCAAGTCGGAATCCATGAAACTTTTACCGTGCAGAATTTTCTCAGTTTTTATTTTCGCACCATCTTCGCCGCTCATGTAAGTCGAATTCCCCGTACTGTTCACCGTGTATGATTTCTTCTACATTTTTTTCGCACCATTTCTGTTAACATTCCCGTCGCTTGCAAATATAAGTTGCCTTTCACTTAACTGTTATAGTAAAAGAATAGGGCCATTTTTTCCTCGTGATTTTTTTTTGTGCGAAAACCTTTGACAAAGATTTCTGTTGTTATAACCAGAGACGTATATAACACATGTGTTATATACATCTCTGTTATAACTTAACTATTTTTTCTCCAACTTCGTTATTATTTCATTTACAGTTGAATAATAAACAAAAATACGTAACCATTTTCGGACTATCGGGCCTTCGGACTATTGGACCTTCGGACTAATATGTCTTCGGAATATAAGGGTGTCACCTTAAGAATCCCCAAAGATAAAAGTTTATAATGTATAGCAATAACCCCGACCATTGCAATACACGTGCACTTATATACCGAAATACATGTACGTTCAATGTATGTAACATTTAATTCAACCAGCCAACAACGAAATATATCCCCAAAGCATAAAAAACCCCACAAACCACAGCTGTATGTTTATCAGAGCTCGCCATCTCGGAAAGATATCGTCAATGAATCTCTCGTGGTTACAGCAATGTTTATGAAATGTTTCGGGAGGCATTACAGGTTAGTTTATCTCAAAGATTTTGTTGTTGGTAAACACCAACTTTACCAGTATTTAAAAATAGGATCCGGTATACTTGTCAGTAATGAAATTGGTTCGGATGATAATGTGTGTACGATAATGCTAATATCCTTTTTAGCTGGAAAATTATCCATATACAGAAAAACTTTCAATTTACAACAAGATCCAGTGGCATATTGAGGCAGAATGATTTAATAAAAACTTCCCCAAAACACATATAAAACATCCAAAACATCATTAAAATATTTGATAACAACCTCAATCCCCCAAATACTACTTCTAAGCACTCAAAGTCTGCTCAAAAACCACACATATCTCGGCTGCCATTTCACGATGATTATGGAGGGGAGATAACCCTTACAGCTTGTCGCTGTCGATTCAGGAAATACAGCCGTTTCCATTTCAGATGAGATTGGTGAACCGTAAAATTTGTTTTCACTTTATATGCTATATAAAATGATCAAATATGATAATATAATATAATAACGACAGTAGGGACAAGAGATTTGTCAAAATTTCAAGGCAATATCAACATTTATCAAGACATAAATATTACAAAAATTCACAAAAAAATCACATAAAAACAAATACGAAGTTATCAAGTTAAATTACGGACTTAAATATATACAAATCCGTGGTTAAATCGAGAGCGGTGGTGTAAATTTAGGTGGCTCGATAATCCCTTCGGCCGATGGACGCCGAAGGCCCTTTATAACGGACAAAAAAAAAGTCCCAAGTTGTTGTATGTAAGATGGTGATTAAAATATCAAAAATGTGTTTAATCAATCTCGGTTGTGTTGCAACGTAGACACTGAGTGTATACGCGGTCGCAATGAAAACAATTGCATGTCACACTCCGAGGAAAGTAGTCTCCCGGTACATCTCGACCATACTCTAAATGAGGAATTGTTTGATCAAAGATAAGAAATGTTGTTGTAAAAATGTTAAATGTATAGTTACAATAATAAGTAATTTGATAAAAATAAACACCAGTTAAATGGACAATATAATATAACTTTGAATATGGTCAAATAGTCCCCAGTACCGTCAACTCGCCCAAAGAAAAGTCGCCCCATAAAATTGAAAATTTCTACTTCCTGACTAGAGTTAATAAACGGCGCCAATCTTAAATAGGAAGGAAAGGTGAAATTGTAACTAAATAAAAAGTGCAATAAATGGAGCAAGTAAGTTTAGTTGAAAAAAATCCTTTTTTAGGTGGGTGATACTATACAGGGGCGTAGCAAGCCTAGCAGAAATATGTAAGCCCAGGTGAGGGGTCTGGGGAAACGGAATTTCATGATTTCAAAGATGTTTTGAATCGTTTTCTGAGACAGTTTTTTTCAACTTCAACCCCTGATATTTATTTTCAACCTTAGTTTTGTAATTTTGTCCGACATACTCTATGCACGGATTTTTTATGTGTAAGCCCGGGCTTTTTCTTCCTATGGAAGCTACGCCCTGCTATATTAGTTGCTTCAGCGGTAACTTGAGATGTACCGACTGCCAGGTATGTATGACAGAACCTGTATGTAGGAACAAGATCATCTCTAGTTTATTCCGAGTGGGTAGCAGGTTTGGAGTTGGTTGGTCCAGTGTCGTTCCATACTGAGGCGTTGCTGGTAATCACAACTCCTACAGTGGTCAGTGGGCACCACCTGCATGTCATTCCCCGAATGACTTGGTGTGTATGGAGACTACATCCATAGTTACCAAGAGCGTATCTTCAGGTAGATTGCTACATGGTGTCTTTTTAGATAGCCTATGGTATCTTTTAAGTAAGATAGTAGATCATTTGCATGAAGGCTTAAGTGGAAGTCAATGAACTTTGATATTTTTTCTGTGGGTTAACCAATCGAATTGATGATAGGTCTACCAGGGTTACCAGCCTTGTAATTTTTTGGGAGGAGGTAGAAATCCCCTGCCCCTGGGGAACCGAAGCATAAAAATTCTGCTGTTTCTGAATCTATGTCTCCTCTCTTAAGTACCCATTGATGGTATCATCGACCTTTTGAGCATGTTCTAACGTCTAATCATGACCGACTTTGCGATAAAGTGTCTCATTTGATAACTGGCAATTGGCCTCCTTATTGTAATCATCTCTGTTTATGACAATCACTGGGGAGTCTTTGTCAGCTTCTTTGATCGCAATATCGGTGTTATGTTAAGGCCTGCATGACCTTCTGTTCTCCTATCCCAAGGGGTTATCTCTTTGGGTATGAGTTTGGTGCGGTGTCCTAACCCTATATGTAATAGGTTCTGCAATTTCCCTTTATCTGTATTAATATTGTATTATGACTTATGTTGAAATAAGTGGGACATCATATCAAACTAGTAACGCATATTTTTTCTTTCATAAAAAGAATAACGAAAAAAAGTATACTGATGTTTTTGACAACGTCGGAGAGTTATACAGTTAAGTCTAATTGAAAAAAGATGACCAGAGATATTCAATTTACAACTTAATTAGCGTATGATAATCATCTAGGCAATAATTACAGGTGATTATATGCTCAGTGTTTCATTCTAAAATACGAACTTAATTTGATCGGTAAAAGTGAGGCGTGACGTAACCGTTAACGTTGCTGAACACAAACCTCCTATAACCTGTTCCATCGCGTGCCCGTCAATAGGCCAATTATTTTTATGTGTAGGTTATCCTTCTCCTCAACAGTCATCGATACCTGTAGATAGTGACGTTTTCTTCCATAACCTCCTGGAAAGTATGTATACATATCAGAACCAAGGCCCACTCTGTATAGAAGACGTTTTTAACGCTAGAATTGGGACGACAGCTGACTGCATAGAAGGTGTAGAAATTCGGAATTCTATAGATGATTGATACAATTACTATGTAGACCCTCACTCTCCAATAGATGATGGATACAGTTACTATGTAGACCCTCCCCCTCCTATAGATGATGGATACAATTACTATGTAGACCCTCCCCCTCCAATAGATGATGGATACAATTACTATGTAGGACCCTCACCCTCCTATAGATGATGGATACAATTACTATGTAGGACCCTCACCCTCCTATAGATGATGGATACAGTTACTATGTAGACCCTCCCCCTCCTATAGATGATGGATACAATTACTATGTAGACCCCCCTCCTATAGATGATGGATACAATTACTATGTAGACCCCCCCCCTCCTATAGATGATGGATACAGTTACTATGTAGACCCTCACCCTCCTATAGATGATGGATACAGTTACTATGTAGACCCTCCCCCTCCTATAGATGATGGATACAATTACTATGTAGCCCCCCCTCCTATAGATGATGGATACAGTAGACCCCCCTCCTATAGATGATGGATACAGTTACTATGTAGACCCTCCCCCTCCTATAGATGATGGATACAGTTACTATGTAGACCCTCCCCCTCCTATAGATGATGGATACAGTTACTATGTAGACCCTCCCCCTCCTATAGATGATGGATACACTTACTATGTAGAACCCTCTCCTTCTATAGTGCCTGGCGAATCTTCACCTCCGAGCATGTTGAACTCCTTACGCAACTGGTCAAACATGTGAAAAATCTCGTATAGTAATATGTAACACAAGATCAAAATGGTAAATTATTCTCTATATTGCAACCAACATCTTAAAGAT